ACGTAGTACCGAATTCATGGAAGACAGCTTTGGTCCACCCGATCCCCAAAAAAGGCGACTGCTCAGACCCGTCCAACTACAGGCCTATATCCATCACCTTCTTGTTCTCCAAAATAATGGAATCCATTATGAACTGCCAGCTTATGAGGTGCCTTGAGGATCACCAGCTGATTAGTGAGCGCCGTTACGGTTTTCGTCGGGGTCGATCAGCTGGTGATCTTCTGGTCTACGTGACTCATAGATGGGCGGAGGCAGTAGAGTCCAAGGGGGAGGCATTGGTCGTTAGTTTGTACATAGTGAAAGCCTTCGATCGGGTCTGACATAAAGCGCTTCTTTCGAAGTTCCTTCCTATGGGCTTCCCGAGAAATTGTGCAAATGGATCACCAGTTTCCACGCTGATCGGAGCATCAAGGTCGTAGTAGACGGTACATGCTCTGATTTCAAGCCTATCAACGCTGGTGTTCCACAAGGCTGCGTGCTATCACCAACGCTGTTTCTCCTGCATATCTATGATATGTTGCAAACTAGTAACATTCATTGCTATGCAGACGACAGCACTGATGATGCCTTATATACCGGCCATGCCAATATTTTTCGGGAAAACTTCGCCGAGTACCGGGACAAACTTGTGTCTGAAGTCGAGTCTTTGCTTAACAAAGTCTCGGATTGGGGCCGACTAAATCTAGTCCAGTTCAATCCCCAGAAGACACAAGTTTACCGCTAAAAAGAACCCCTCTGTCATATATCCTCAGTTTCAAGGCACTCCCCTTGCTACCTCAGCTAGCATCGGAATCTTCGGCGTCATAGTGTGCAGTTTCGTGGTCACTTGGAAAGGAAGGCCAAATTGGCCTCTAAAAAGCTTGGCGTGCTCAGCAGAATGAGACAGTATTTCATGCCGGCACATCGCTTGCAACTTTACAAAGCGCAAATCCGGCCTCACATGGAATACAGAACAGTATTCCATGTGAGGTATCTTTGGGCCGGGGCACCCCAGTACCAGCTCCTTCCAAGTGGAGGGAGGTCAAGTGACCGCATCCAGCGCAGAGCGGTTCTAATCGTCATCGACCAAGTTCTTTCTGATAGGCTCTATACACTGACACTGCGTAGGGATTTACCACGGGGAGTTCTCTGAGGAATTGTTCGTATTAATTCCAGCCGCCAAATTTCACGAACGCACATTGAGTCAAAATTCACGATAACATCGTCACCATCTGGATGCTTGGCGGTCCACGACTGTGTGTTTTACTAGAAGTTTTCTTCCTCGTACAACTTCTCTGTGGAATTGTTTACCACCGGCGATGTTTCGGAATCGATACGACTTAGCGGCCTTCAAGAAAAGAGTTTACACCTTTCTAAAAGGCCGGCAATGCATCTGCAACTATCCTGGTGTTGCGGTTGTGCATGGGCGGCGGTAGTCACTTACCATCAGGTGAGCTGCATGCTCGTTTGCCCCCTCTTCTATAAAAAAAATTGTTTTCAACATACCCATCGATAAAGTCCCCTAGGTCGTTTGTACAAAATTATTATGCTTAAACTAATATTATATTTATGCAGGACATTAAGATATTCTGTATTAATGTTATATAATACGTACGTAAGTACCAAAGGAGTATATACATTATACTTTAATGACGCAGGACACTGCACTTTCTATCCCCTTACTCTCATACTCTGATGGGATGGTAATCCGACACAAATATAGAGAGATCGGTTGCAAAACCAACGATTTTACGTGCTTTCTGAGATACAGGGATGAAACACCGCTAAAATCCTGACTCCGGGCTGCTACTGAGAATTTCTTGATAAAGCTGAACGCACATTTGTCCGTGGCGTACGCGCCGAAGAATACGTTGCATGAAATCATATGTAGCCTCGCACATTACACCCGCACCGAACGCACCGACTTTTATAAAATGCGGTAGGTATCCGAATATTGAAGGACGCATGCTGATCACGGCATATAACGCGGCGCATTCGGCGCATGTTGATACTCAGTGTTGTCTAATGTTGCCAACTTAGTGGATTTTCCACAATAAGCTACAACTGGTAGTTTCGACTTACGTGATAATATTTGTATTTTCATAATTTTTAATTAATTCGTAATTAATTATAGATAATTTAATTATTTGCATCAATTATCAATATGACTACCTAGTGCTAAAATATTTAAATACTGAACTAAAAAAAAATAGTTCAATTTAATTCAAAAACCCAGTTATACCTGATTATTTAATTATCAATAAAAATACTTACCTCAAACATATAACAAGTCTTTTCTCTGTTTCAATTAGCCTTAAATCTTGAGTTTTCCATAGAACGATATGGTTTTAGTATTTACAGCATTTCTTGAATTTCTTGTATGTTAAATGCAAATATCTAAAAAATCGTTTATCATCATATAATAAGTCTTTAAATAAAGTATAATATTCTCCATATAATTGCCTTTTTAAATTAATATCATGAATCCAGAAACTTCTTTTTCTTCGAATTTTATTTTCTTCTTCCTCTGCCAATAAGCAGGCTATTACTATATTTCTTTCCATAGTGATTTCGAGTGATCAATTCACTGTACCGTTTCACAACAGTGATTGGAAAAGACTAACAAAGTTGTTGGTAATACAAAAGATTTGCGTGCGGCGCGGACGATGCGTACTGTGCGGACATATGTGCGTTTAGCTTAAAAAAACCCACGGATTTTGGCTCCGATCACACCTATTACTTACTTAAAGATCAAAAGACTGTCCTTGGTTGAGTTTAGTATTATTATTTAATTCTTTACAAGATGAGATACATAATAAGTATACGTGTCTATAAACGTGTATGTCTATAATTACACTAACAAAATCAATGTATCTATCATTTTGTTAGTGTAATTATAGACACTTAATTTTATGTGGGCATTGGATTGTAGTTTTCATTACAAATATTTTTAATGAAAACTACAATCCAATGCCCACAGCAATTTGGTAACTCATACGATAGTGGTACCAATAATTGAGGATGGAGCTTGCTTATTTAGGGTAGTCTCATATCTGTTGTATGGGAACCAAGTGTTGGCTAGAGAAATTAGTGTGGATTACGTTATTGTGATCATTTTGTTGTTTATTTACAATATGAAACACAAGCGTATAGTTTGCCCAGTTCTTTTCTTGATTCGTTTATGGGTCCGTTCATTAGTAAAGTTGTGGTTACGTCTATTTGTTCGTTCGTTAGTTTGTCTGATTGACTGACTAACTGAATGTATTGATCCATATTAATGTTTTTCTAGATCTTGGCGCCATTAAAAGTACAAATAAATCATCCTCAATTACCATAACAAAAGTAGTAATTCCACGCGAACGAAGTCGCGGGCAGAGCTAGTTATGAATAATTCTAAAAGCATCCCTTGCATTTTATACCCCCATTATACAGTTATTGATAAATGATGATCCTTTCATTTTCTAATTATAATGGTATCTACTTTTATCTACATTCTAATAAAATTTAATTATTGTTGCTGTTGATTCTAATTACATTTATGTTTAGGGGAAGATGTTTAATCACGGTCATATTATGATGTTTTTGAAGAAACTAGTTTTCGATGTAATAAAATTTATGCCTATGAAAATTAATTATTTCCAAATAATTTCAGTTTATTTTCATGCAGTGTTAGTGAGTTCAAAATTTGAAATATTTCTAAATTATGTTAAATATGATTTTGATAGTATTTTTAATTAATAGGCGAGTTAAATATAACATATTTCAAAATATGTTGATTGTTAATAGGCGCAAAGTAGCCAGCTAGCCTTTCGGTTGTTTATAGGATGCGTACATTTCGGAGAGTATGCGCAGGAATTACATGAATTAATCCTCCCTCTCCATCCCATCACCGGACCACCAGATGTTCGACTTTTTTTAACATTGGCTGCATCACCACTTTCCATAAGGTGAGATAGTATTCAAGGAATGGCTTATAATAGTAATAAACAAAAAAATTTATAATACGTTTTCCTATGTTCCATGAAACACTTCCAAGAAAATTAATAGTTATACTACGACGAACAGTACGAAATGCTTACAAAGCGTTAAAATGTATTCGTATCGTACGTCCTCAGTTTTTATATTACACGTATAACCGCAATAAAAACTAAAATCAAACTTAATTTTAGGCTTCGATAAATAGAGCGCTCAAAAGGTTAAGTGTAGGCGTAACCTTTCATTGGACGGAATTTCCGGATCGCCTCCCTTTCCTTTTAATATAGTTATTATACTCTTTGGCTCCCTCTTATATCTAAGGAATGGAAAGGCAATGTCAACATACAGCGCATCTATAAAAGCGACCGAGATATCGATAACCCGGAAGCCTAGTGGCAAAATATTTGGTTGCAGCGCTGCAAAGGGCGGGTATGATTACCAAGAAATAAATATTTGTATGGTCTACATATATTTCTTTCATTACAGAAGAAATTCCTAGTGTAAGCGTATCAACAAGTACGTATTTTCTTTCAATATTATAAAAGAAACTTAAGATATCCGCATTTTTAACAAAAATAATATACATGTAGCAAAATAATATAATATGAATATTATTTTACGTGGTTACAGCAACGTTGCAGCTTTATTATGGATGCAGTACGAATGGGTCAGGGTAGGACCACACTGTCATAGAATACTAGCAGCTTAATGCTATTGTGTTTCGTATGGTGAGTGTAGAGAACCGGAGACCCTTTTTACTGGTGACAACAGACAACGCATCTGCATTTTGATTCTTAATCGAGCATAGATGCCGATGTCTACGGACCACATCATTCACTTACCATAAGAACTGTGTACTCGCGAAACACTCTTAATATATAAAAAACATTATTTTTAGAATATGTATTAACTAAATACATCACTCTTGTTTTCGAGCAGTTACATACATTTGAAAAATTGACAAATTTTCAAACGTAGAATGACAGTTTTCCACAAGAAATTATTCTAAAAACATTGGTAAAATGAACTTTCTTTACGATATACATTTAAGTGACACGATTTTTTATGTTTTTAATTGATTTACCAATAGAGCTCGAAGGTTCATCCTTTTCCAACAATTCTTCATCAATAAGCAAATCGAAATTCCCTAAAGCTTCAGGATTTGGTTGTTTGTTCCAACGTACATCTGGAACTCCATCTGGAGGTAATACTACTGACAAAATATTATCGATCAGTTTATATTTCAAAATTCTGTCATTTACTGTAGTCGATGTTAGCGATGGAGAAGCGTTTACCTCTACAAGCCAAGGCTTTAATTGGTTGTCAATTATGATATCGTAACCATAGCATTCAAAACAATGCCTATCATTGGCCATTACTGAAGAAACAGCCTTCAAAGAATGCACAATTAACCATTGCATTGCTGCAAATAATTTATCCGTGACTGCTTTTCCTCTAGTACCTTCTAAATATAATTTTAAATTTTGAACGCTCATTTTTCCGCCATGAATATTGTTATAATCCCCTCCATGCTTCTGTACACTGACGTTAGTAAGATGTACGTACATATTATCTAGTTCTGTGACGCTTGTATCATACTTCACCGTACAAAATCTGCAAAATCCCAACTGAAATAGATAAGCTTTTAGTGGTCTAAAAGATGTAATAAGAACGTACAGTCTTAAATCAAACTTTTTGCCACCTATTAGCAGGGGATTGTCTATGTACCTTGAAATTACGTAACTTTCTTTACTTAGCTGTGGGTGAAATGGTGCTTTCGCCTCCCTGGACCACTTCTTTAATTTGGATAGTTTATTTATTAGGAAAATGCCAGTTCCTTGTGATTTTCCACACGGTTTCATTATCCAAGTGCTTTGAGGTGACTTACGATATTCCTCCACAAACATATTATAATCTGCAGGTAAAACAAATGTTATTGGCACAAAATCCAAATGAACATACCGAGTTCCCACTTGTCCTCCGTGTAAAACAACTTCAGATTTTTCAGCTAACGGGTTCCCTTCTCTTTCCAATTCTTTTCGATACCTTTTTATATTTTTTACAAGCAAATCCTTCCTCGAGAGTTCGTAGTGGTTAGGAAAATGATTGATCATTTGGTTGTCATTCATACGATAGCCACTTTCAACGCTAAAGAGATTTCTACAGGTTTGAGTGGACGCCCAATAAAAGTTCCATTCATCGTCAGGTCCTACTTGATGCCATCCTCGTCTCTCGAAATTGCTCATTAAAACGGATTTTTCTAAATCAGTGCAAAAATTTAGACGACATCTCTCCACAACAGGAGCGTTCACTCGTCCGTAGACACTGGCTGCTAATTTTTTCGCATCTTGATTCATATTTAATTATTTGACTTTTTTATATTTCACAAATGTTTATCACATGTAACTAGGTTAAACAACTCGTAATGCAAGACAACGTATTGAAGACAAAGTTATAACATAAAAATGATTGCCATAGTTATCGATCTAACAAACCGTTAGCATGAGCGTAAAGTTTTAGTGGATAAGCCATGGTGGGTCGCGGGGTTTGTCGTTTTCCGAACACAAGCTCTTGTTAACGCCACTACGTCGCTCTCTCCACTAAGGTCACCCTAAAGATTTTGAGAGTCGTGGTAGCTAAGGGACTAAGCGCACGCCTTAAATTTAACAGCGACACGAGTTCGATTCCCGCCTACACCAATGAATGGTAGTTGCAATTTTAAGTGTTGATTTACCAAGTGCTCTGTATGAAAGAAAATATCGTTAAGGAAATTGCATGTCTGAGGAATGACAATTAATAAAATATTTCGAGTGCATGTGAAGTCCGCCAACACGCATCGCTGCGTACCACCTGCTCTATAAATCTCTCAGAAATGAGAGGAGGCATGTGCTCAGCTGTGAGACGTAAGTAGGTATATAGGTTGTAAATTACTAACTACTATATTTAATTCCTAAAGAACAATGGCAGAAAAATAGTTGACAAAAATTATCGCGTCTAGAAATAAGTTATATATAAAATGAGTTTTATTATTTTTGTATGATTTACAAACATTTTTGGGAATATTAAATGACTTAAATCATTTAAATCTATTCAAGTGTTGCCATTTAGTATATTCATACTATTTTCGTATACACTTTGTAAGACTACCAACACGACACACAAAATATTTTTATATTAAGTTATTACTAGTAATAACTATACTATCAGTAATAATAAAAATAAAAGTGATGTGGTTGAGAATAAGTCTCTTACAAATAATTTCCTACAATAATACATTATCTCAATCATAGTATAGTACTAGTAACAATTCCATTTAATGTTATGGCAACACTAGCTAAAACAAAATGTCACTGTTTGGCCTAAAGGTCTAGATGCCAGGCCATAAACTACAAAAAAAAATGTCACTGTTTTTTTACTGGCTTTACGGCTCTGCGTTCTAGCCCTTCTGAGAATGTCACTATGAGACAAAGGCCCTGGAGTCATGCCAGAAATATACATTTATAGCATATAAATATATAATAGAGATATAATAAGCTAAAAACTCTCAATTATGTATTATGTATTAAGCTAACATCAAACAACCACAGGAAGTATGACTTTTTCCAAGTGACATAAGACATAATCTAAAAAGGTTCAAATCTAAATATCTTTGTTTTAACGCGTTCTCAGGACAAAATTCTTTTACAGAGTTATTAAGGGACTAACGCTTAACATTTTAAGATATTTTTGATGTATAGAAGCTACCATTTCTTCACAACTAATTTTATGTATGAAAGTCTGCCATTGTTCTTTATGTATATCAGTATTAGCGCTCAATAACATCCCACTAAATCTTCCGTCAGATTCGTTCCCTTTTTCCCTAATACCTTACCCTCAACCGTTTTTTCCCCAAACCCTCTTCCTCTTCTCCCTCTCCTGAGTGGATTTTTATATCCCTACCAGACGAAAATAATACAAATATCCAATAATAATCACTTTTATAGAGAAAATTATTAAACGACTGATAATGAATTTCGATTTATAAAAAATTTAAGCAACATTTTATTATTTCCACGAAAAAATTAACTACCTGCTAATGTTGATTAATAAAAAAGTTTGAAACGAGCTGCAAAGCCGTTAAATCCATAATGTGAACTCAGATTAATACCTAATACTTCTTTATTGGTCTAAGCATGCGTATTAAAATTTTAGAAGAACGATACGAATCTATACATAATATAATAAATCTATAGAAAAGTCATGTCTGTAATTCTAATATTTTCTGGAAAAAACAATTCCAGGGGACTAAATAAAAGGCACTGAGGCCAAATTAGTGGTTTTTGGAATTTTTGTCTGTCTGTCTGTCTGTGTATTACCGTTTAACGCAAAAACTACTGGACAGATTTCCATGAAATTTTGTGTGTAGATAGTTAGGGACCCGTCTAAAATGAGTTTTAACCGTTGCGTTATAATTTTAACTACGCCGACAATCTAAATTTCACTTTATCAAAACAGTGCCATCTAACGGGAAATTCAAAAAGCCGTGCACCTGGAGCTTGTTACGGATCTTACCAAGGAGGCGTTTTTAGCGGCACTGCGGCACTCAATCGTTTTATATCGCGGAGGGGTAAGCCTCAAAACATGTATTCCGACAATGGCACAACCTTCGTAGGAGCCAGCAACGAACTTACTCGATTCCTAAAGGCGAATAATATCTACATACAGGCCAATTTAGCAGAACTTAATATTAACTTTAACTTCATACCAGCATATTCTCCCCATTTTGGCGGTATTTGGGAGGCGGCCGTCAAATCGGTAAAAACTCTTTTACGTCGCGTTTTAAACTTAACATATCTAGTTTATGAAGAACTTTCCACCTGTTTGTGTCAGATAGAGGCAATTCTGAATTCTAGACCTCTCACACCTTTATCCACAGATCCTTCCGACCTTACCTTTTTGTCGCCAGCCCATTTCCTCATTGGACGGCCACTCATGTCAGTACCATATCCTTCACTTGAAGATGCTAATATTAATCGCATTCAACGATTTCAGAGAATTGAAAAGCTTAGACAACATTTTTGGAGGCGATATTCACAGGAATATATATTTCAACTACAGCAGAAGACTAAATGGCATGCTTCATCTGGCGAACTGAAGATAGGTGACCTGGTTTTGGTCAGGGACCAAAATGCACCACCTCTGCTATGGCTCTTGGGACGGATCACAAAACTATCAAAGGGCAGTGACAGAGTACATATCAATATTCGTAATTTACTTGCTCATTATTTTGATTACTAAAATCAATAATTTTTTAAAAAATATTTTATGATTCTAAGCGATTTCTGAGCGATCTGAATCGTCCCGGACGCTACACAATTTTAGACCTTATGACGGCGTTTTTGAAGCTTTTATAGAAATTATGCTTCACTCGGGTCAGTCCGGCGATAGCCCGCTTCAACGGTTTTCGATGTGTCGCCTTAATGCCAGCCAGCCTGTACCGAATGTCGTCCTTTTGTGTACTTAATGCCAGCATAGCATAGGGTTGTGCCTTTTGAGTTTTTGGTAAGTACCTATAGTAACTTTTAATTTTGAATCTGCATGTGACAAGCATGGGATATTATTAAGGCAGACGACAACATTATTTTATTTTAATGTTTTATTACTTAACTTACTATGTTTTAGTTTAAAGCAGTTTAATAAATTAAAGCAAATTATGATTAAATATTATGTAGTATATCGGTTTCTAATAATTTAATCATCCAAGTTTTCAAATCATCATCGTCATTATAACCGGACACAAGTCCACTACGGGACATCCTCCTCCATAGACTGCTGCAAAGCCTGGTCCCAAACCACTTTACTTGTCATGAGTTTTTCATTTATGTTCTAAGTTGTAATTAGTATTACTAAGTTATAGTTTTTGTTTATCTATACAAATAAAAAAAATTGAAGTGTCTGTTTGTAATGTCATAATTACAGCTTTTTGAAGGTATACGGTATCTATAACAAAAACACAATTTTTAAAATTTTTGTCTGTCTGTCTGTTTGTTCCGGCTAATCTCCGAAACGGCTGGACCGATTTCGACGGGACTTTTACTGAACGATAGCTGATGTTATAAGGAGTAACTTAGGCTACTTATATTTTAGAAAAAGAATTAGAATTCCGCGCAACATCAATAAAACCCTAAATTTCACGCGGGTGAATTCGCGGGGAACAGCTAGTATAAACTATATTTATAGCTTATTTTTTCTTCTTTCTCAAAAAATAATTGAATACATAAGCTGTCCATAATATAAACCGAATGTCAGATTGAAAAGGTAGTACATCTATGGCTAAACTTTAAAATCTAAAACCAATTTTAAAACAGACAAATTAATCATAACTCCCTTAACTATCAAATAAGTTATGATCTAATTAATAGTATTTATTCCAGTTTATGACAGCCCTGTTTTATATTCCGTGGCTGAAATTAGGTACTTCTATTAGGTACGCCCATAGATTACCCCCTAAGGGGGTAATCTGTGGGTACGCCAAACCAAATAACAGCCGGGCGGCTGACATTATGCACTCCATACATTTCGTATATCTAATTACAGCCCCATTAATTTCCACTAAAAGAAAATAAATAACTTATAAATTGAAACAAAACATTCATATAAATCAAAAAGCCTTTAGGTTTAAAACTCTGAGGAATAATTAAAAACGAAAAATTATTTAGGCGATAATATTTGTAGTTAAGACTAATAGAAATCTTATTTAGAAAGTAAAAAGGCGAAAAGGCTGGAATTAGGGGCATGGCTGGTATTAGGGGCATCCACCTACATAAGGAACAGGTAATATTTTATGACTTAGTTACGCTTGTCTTAAGCAAACTAATTTTAATGCTGAAACGAATACTACCCCTAAAATTAAAACTTAAAATAGGAAAGTTAGAGTTTTAATATATTATGCTACTACTTATCGTTTAAACATTTTGCAGTCTGTCAATGTAAAATTAACTCCGCCCTGAAACGGAGGCCCCGTTCCTATACGATATTTTTAGCTTCGCAGGGGATGCTCTTCAGGCGTCGCGTCGTACGATAATTTAATTTTCAACCTCGTCTCTAATACATCCTTTAACGTAATCTCTTGGCTACACTTTATATATAAGTAGATATCCCGACTAAACAAAGTTTTATATAATTATTGTTATTATAATTAATTTATAATTGTCCTTTATAAAGACCGCGTAGTTACATAAGTGTACTTGGCTGTATCGTGGGCCCCTATTTCTAGACATCCCGTAAAAATTATATAATTAACCAAAAACAGCATTTTATTATAATGTGATGTCGAATCGACAGTGAAACTTAGAAGGGCTAAGTTAGTTTCACTGTCTGATCAACAGTACCTACACGGAAAATTAAAGGAATGATTTATTTTTGTACCGTAACCGTTACCGTGGTAGCTCAGGGTTTGGGCGCTCGCTGGAGATTTCACTGTACGCGAGCAACCCGGGTTCGATCACCGCCGGCACCAATGAAATGGTTAATTCCAATTTTAAGGCTTTAACTAGCCTGAATGACCTTGACGAAACGGCGATCGCAGAGATTTTAGCCGACGTCAACACCGTCTAGCAACTACATTCTGTATTACTTATAAAAGTGCAAAGATTAATAGACTGCAGAGATGACAATTATATAAGTGACATACTGCCTGCTATGCTTGCGCATCACTGAGAATTATGTCGCGGTTACGCATTTTCAATTACATTGTGTTGTAGCTTTGTCCTCTTTTGCTGATTTATCACGTCCTTGGCGGTGAAGGAAAGCATCATGTGAAAATTTGCTCGTCTAAGAAATAAGAAAAAAATAATATTTCGAAGACATTACAGTTCGCCAACACGCATTGGAGTAGCGCGGCGGACATTTCATTGCCCTAAAACCCTCTCTCAGCAATGAGAATAGGCCTGAGCCCAGCTGTGGGGCGTATAGAGGCTGTAACCACAGAGTAAAGAGTAAGGACCAGAGGGGAAGCTTCTTAACAACGTCGAAAATGTATACCTATTCTGATAGGGTTGAAAAAATAAAAATATTGTATAGCATAAGACAACATATGTATTAATTATAACTTATATTAATGTAACAACATATCTATTAATTGTTCGAAATCAAGAGTGTTGGTGTAAGTGGTGGTGGTGGTAGTAATGGTTGTGATGGTGGTCGTGGGCAGTGGCGGTGGTGGTGGTTATAGTAATGGTGGTAATGGCGGTGGTGTTGATGGAGCCACTGTTGGTCCACTGTCTACTACAACTACCTACGATACTACCACCTCCACCACCACTGACACCATCAGCAAAACTATCGACCAACACCAGCACCACTTCCACCAACACCAATCCCACCACCCCCACCAATGTCTGGCGGTTGTATTCCAATCATAATGCAGTGGTATTTACTCCTGGGGTCGCGACTCACAAAAAGTAGCTTATATTCTTCACAAGGAAGCAACCTACCTCTAAAGTGGGTGGGTAGGATATCCTGCCATCTACGGCACTGTCAAGGTTAGACTGACTAACGTTTCAAGTAGGTGAGACCGACTTCATCACTCAGTGACATACCTGTCTAACACATTGTCACTTACTTATCAATGTTATTACCTAGTTTTATTGTATATTATTAAATACGTAAAACGGTACTTACTTCACTTGATTTCTCGGGTACAAAAAAAGGAAATATCCTTATTTTCTCTAGAATTATTCATGCATACCGTAAAACTATTAGGCATTTTTGCTTATACGGAACACTTATTATTTACCCATATAAATTTATAATAACTTAATTCTTAATTATTTTAATTGAAATACTTAAATCTAATTATTTAATAATTGCAAAAAAAAACTTAATAAATTAATTGATGTATAAAATTTCGAAATATTGTGAATCTATTTATTTAAATGCGCACGACTAACAAACAGCCCTTTCATGGATACTCTGACTGAGCCGGCGCAAACCGGTTTGTACCCAAACGGAGCGTCGGTGAACCTGCCGGTGAGAGCTCACGCACACATCTTTGCGCTATGGATAGGTGTGTTCGTAGCGAGCCGTTTGTATGTAGCTTCCCCTCTGGTCGGTTTCTTTACTCATGTGCTATAACTTTACTTTTGTCAACGTTTTAACGTTTAGTGTTAAAACCGCCGCCGCGTGCCGTACCGTGTCAATTTCATGACGTATCGTGCGAGAAGCTAATTAAAGTAGTTTTGATTGGTCGGGTCGTTATGAATGCGATGCTTAGAGTAAATAATTATATCCTCTAATATGCGATGATCCAAACGCTCAACATACAAAACCAACGTCGTAAAGAAAAGAAACATCTTCGTTATTCGACGCGACACGATGCCCCCGCCCTCTCGGTAGAGAGTAAGCCCCGCCACATACATACGGAATTGCGTTTCGGGATTTCGTTTCGGAATTCCGTACGGGTCGGCCACATACACGGAATCCCGCTTTGCCCGCAATATTTCGAACGGAAAACTACCGTACGTGTGTGACGGGTCATAGATTTTATATGGACTTGCTGCTTTCGGAATTCCGAATCGGAATCCCGAAACGGAATTCCGTGTGTATGTGACGTACCTTATTGTGTTCTGTGCCCCCGCCTGTTGATTTTTGTCGCAGTGTCACACGCACACTTCGAAAATCAACATTTTAATTGCGATTTAGAATTTAAATAATGCTAACAGTGATTTAACTCTGATTGCTTGCTTAATTTAAGACGGCGGTGTAGCTTTACGCTATTATGATTTTTTAATATTTTTTAACATAATGAAAAATGAGCTAACAATTCGCGTGGTTTCCTGTTATTATAGATATGTATTTCTTCTCTTTATAGCAGTCCGTTAAACTACACAGCTTGACATGAGCCTATCCTTTTATAGAGGATATGTCTTAATATTTACGCTTTGTAGGCGGATTGATTTTTTTTTATAGAATAAGGGTAACAAACGAGCACACAATCCACCTGATAATAAGTGGATGCTGTGGCCCACACAAATTTAGATATCACACAGATGCTGTGTGATATCTAAATTTATCCTCGATTAAGAATCAAAATACTGCCTCTATTGCCTCTATTCCAGTAAAAAAGGGTGTCCGGTTCTACACACTCACGATATCTTAAGCTGCTGTTTTATGCTGGTAGTTTGCGAGAGCGTGGTCCTACCCCGGTCGAGCCGACAAATTCTTGCTACAACCATAATATAGCTGCAACATGACTCTACCACGTATAAAAAATTATCATGATTATCGCAGTACCAAAAATCTAGCGCCTTTGACTGCTGTATTACGGTCTGCATTGTATAGAGCAGAGGCCATTAAATGGCGGACCGTGGTCCGAATCCGGACCGCTGACCTATTTTGTGCGAACCCAGAAAAATCGTAAGCATACCAATGTAAAAATTTGTGGTAATTTAATTTTCTTCCCGTTTTAAAACACAAAGATTGGGAAGTTCTTTACCAAGAATTTTTGATAACATTAGAGTGTGGTATAAATAACCAGAACTAAAAAGGCTTTGAAACTTTGTACAATGTTTGGATCATCAACATAATTATATTTATGAAGCAGCGTTTTCTTAGATGAACTTTAATAATAAATTTAAATAATAAATTAATAATAAATTAATTTATTATTTAAATTTTAATTATTAATTTATTATTAATAATAAATTAATAATAAATTTCGATCTCGTCTTACCGATGACCATAACTAAGATTTAATGGCTTTAGCTTGCACTTAATTGCAGACTTCAGACAAATTATTCAGATTGAAAAATTCCATTTTTCGCCTTAATATAGGGTACTTACTTTGTTATTTCTAATAAGATGTATCCTTAATAAAAAAATATTGTAATTTTTAATTTTTTTTTAAATATTTTTTTTTTTATAAAAAAATACTTAATTCCACTGCTGATTATACGCCTCAGGAAGGTCCGTTACGGTCATGTATATCATAGGGTTGCACCGCCGGGAACTAATAGATGGATAGGGACCATTTTTGTACGGACTTGGCATGTGAATGATTTGCAGATTGTATTATTTAAAAAAAATGAAAAGTTTTTTAATCTTTTTTTGAATATAATTTCCTATCAGCAATAAGTCTGCTTGGAAAAGAAGTCCTTCAGGTACCAACGTCCTATTTGGTAAAATTTTTAGTTGTTTTAGCCAAACCTCTAATTCACTTAAAACGCTCATAGTATCAAAAAGGCCCCTTCTAAGCTCAATTATCGGGCAACCACTAACTACTACTTTGTTATTTACTGAAATAGTTATCATTTGTAGTTTTAATTAAATTTCACAGATGCATTACAATATTATTTTTAGCTTAGTTAAATGACAAAGTTAAAATGTTTAATTAAATTTTGTCATTTTCTTTATATCATTCAAAACTACTTTTCGATAGATGCGATGCCTTTACCCCACCCCGGGATCATTAAAAAATAATATTCGCGATTAGCTTCACCGAGTGATCAAAATAGAACAACATTTAAAATAAAAAATTATTTAATAAAATCTTCAATTCTATCTTAAATATTTTGCGCACCTATCTCAATACAATTCTGGAACAGTAATATAACACAATTCACCTCTGTATAATACATTAACTATAAATATAATACAATAAATCAACATAGTCAAAAACATGATGTTTGATTTATGTGTCATTTGAGTGATTAAGGAGAGGTTTCATGATAAATAACCTGCAAGAAGTTACTTATGTGTCTTAAGAATTTAGTCACATACGTTTTCCTTAATATTTACTTAGTAAAATATCTTTATGTCCAATATTATTTAAAACCAAAGGCCATCCTCTGCTTCTTCTTCACTATCTGTGACTTGTAAATCATCTTGTATGGCTGGATCCGGCTATAAAACAAAAAAACAAAATATGAAGTCGGATAATCATAAAATTACAAAAACGAATAGAATTACCAACACTAAATAGATAGTTATACAGGGTTATTTTGCAATAAGCAGCCAAATTTGCAGAGAAGGTTCAGAATAAGTAACATAAGTAAATGGTGAGGAAAAATTAATTTTAAAAACCTTAAAAATTTATTTCTGTCTGTATTCTACTCCTGTCCTTTTGATCTTTTAAATTCAAAATGCGTGGTAATGCATTATCTTAACTGATTTTACTGAGCACGCACACATTCTTCATAAATCACTCAATTGGAATTTGGGATAATTTCAAATAAAATTAGAATCCTTATTTACTAGTATTTTCAAAAACTGAGATGACTCAATATTTACATATTTGAACTTAAGTTTAAAATTTGGCAACTCTTTGAAAAATAACCTTGTATACTTCGGCCAATTTGCTCCAGCTATCGAGATATGAGGACTTCAAACGAATTAAAAGTAGAAGCATGTATTTATATATCTAACCTGCCAGCTTTCTGGTGGTTCTTCTTTGAACTGCGGTGGATCTATTGGAGGCGGCACACCCATCAGCTGTTGCTCCATGTTCAAATTCAATTGTTCAGGTTCAGGATCAGGTTCAATTGGTTCCTCCTGTTTATTACAATAAAATTAAGTTAAAAATAAAATAGATATATATATATATATATATATATATATATATATATATATATATAAATTATTTTTATTTAAAATGCGCTATTATTATACTATTTCAAACTGGAATACTAATGTTCTTAAACATGATGCAACATTTTGTAACTGACTGTGATAACCAGATGTGATCATTCCGACCATAAGCAAGCCGCGATATTGTGCTAGTTGATCAATATAGTTGTAGGGTCCGGAAAAAAATTCTCTGAATGGAACCACACGTCAGTTTTTTGAACAAATCCGTCTGTGTTTATGTCGTCCTTAGACATAGAGAATGTACTGAGCGTTAGCCTCACAAAAGGGACCATTCTCTAGAAAGAGACAAAGCGACTGTGCGGCCAATACCTGTCTCATTTCTGCAAGCCTGATTGGCCCACGTCCTGTAACTCAACGACGTGGACCAATCAGAACTCTAGAAAGAGATTACTACTGGCCGCACATTCACTTTGTCTCTCTCGCAATTTTCGGCCTGTATTCACTGCACAACTGAATACGAAACGCACAGTCCATTATCTCTATATCTATGGTGTCGTCAAAGGCAACAAGTTGACCAACAAGCAGATGAGGATTGTATTTAAAGATAAGTTGGCACATCCCGCTAAAACTCCTACTTTAATTATTTAAATTAATATAATGTATAGACAGAAATTGACGTCACGATTGTATTTATTTAAATTTACGAACGTACCTTAACAACGGGCGGGAACGTATAATCTGTGCTACGATCCAAATCAACGAAGTCGTCGCTTTGTTGCGGTGGCTCGTCGGGAACTTCCCGTTTGATTTTGAGGAACTCAGAAGTGTCGAAACTGGGCTCGCCGTGCATATTATTATCATTCACTGAAGTATTTACAAATACATTAATATTAAATAATTCAATATTCATTTACGAATTTAAACGGAACGTCAAAACAATTTTCAGTTAATAACACTCCACGGCTGAATATAGGTCTTTGCTATTGAGGCTTGTGAGGATTTTTCGTACTGTTATGTGAAATATTTATGTGCAAGTTTTTAAATATAATGGGTTCCCTACAAAATAAATAAAACAAGGTATTGTTAGTTAGCAAATGCATTTTGATTCTTAATTAAAGATAGCAGGTATTTATATAAGTCACAGCAACCACCTACCAGGTGGACTGTGCAATCGTTTGTCAACCTATTTCTTCTTCATCGTCGGTTCATAGAAGTCCACTGCAGAGCACGGCCCTCTCGTACTGTAGGGACGACTCGCCTTAATCGTCACGGTTTGGAACATAGATAATATACTATATAGGGCATAGATGAGCCTCTCTGACAAATTATTAGGAGACGAAACGAGGGAAGTATCTTCTGCGCTCTTATAGATGGCGTTGGGATTATAAATTACTGAAAAATACACTAGGGGTGCTATTAACTACGTTCAGTATTATTTCGTACACATAAAAATAAAAGGATTCGGTATAAATAATAAATACCAACAGTGGCGCCATTTTTTAATAAAATGTGTAAAACTATTGGACAAAATAATGCATTTAATGGCTGTGAGATGGCGCTAGTGTATCAACGTAAAAGCTGTGGTAAAAGCGAGCCACTGAGGACTTTCATACCCCTGCTTTGGAAGCAGATTGACGCTCACAGTACCAGACGTCTCGCACCTTTGATGCTGCTTCGCACCGCCACTCTGGGTGTAGGAAGTCAAAAAATTTTCCTGGCAGTTTCCAATTCTACTCTTACGACACCCTCAATACGAAACTTGGTGATGAAGTTAACCATTTTTTACTTGTATAAAAATGTTATGAACGTTTACCTGGAGGTACATGTAATTCCACCAAAGATTCTTTTTGTTCCACCTCCTCTAGCTCTGAACTGCCACTATCAGAATATTGAAGATCTGAAAAATAGAGAAGTATGAATAAACTTCATTAAAAAAGAACTGTGTGCTGATTATACATTAAAAAAGGTGTATCAATCAATTACAATGCTCAGTTGAATTTTGTAGTAGAACAATTCGCCTGAGTTGAGGTTACAAGTGATAATGGTAAATGTATTCCACTTTGAATGAAAATGGTAAGAAAAGTGATATACGCGAAGCACGTTAACATCTACTGAAGCAGCGTGGTGGCTTCTTTTCGCCCAATTTTCCACTACTGTTATAACACTAAGAAATGAAATCAAATGTATTTATTTTTTCAACAAGAAAAATTCTTCTAAGAAATTAAAATTTAAAGTTTTTTTTTTCAAATCTACTACCGTTTTCAAATATGGTTCCGCTGGTATTTTTGGTCGGTAAATAGTTTATAAAAATGAAAAATCGTAGAGAATATTCTATAACATACTAAAAGCAGAAGCGAGAGAAGGCTTGTAATATCGATATTATCCAGTCAATGTCAAACTATTATCACTAGCTCGCATTCAAGTCAAGTTGTCGTTACTATTTATATCAAGTTGTTCAATATTCACAACACCAACCTTCTTCCAAACTGTTCTGATCCTTCTTGGGTCTTCCGCGCTTTCTTGGAGTGGCACCTGAAAACATACATCATCATCTTAATCATTTATCGTAGTTCCAAAGTAAGAATGCCGTGAGTTTGCATTGGTAAAACATTAAAACATGTTTTACAACAAGTTTGTAAACCAAAAGATTTCGACACAAATCTTTCAATATGTGGTGAAAACGAGTTGAAAGATTTGTTTGCTATTGCTATCATGTTATAAAACTAAACTTAAATCTATTTTTTACTACGGCGTAAACAAATTGTCGTAATTAAAAAAGAAAATAAAACAAAATTGAGACCGTCTGTACCCATGCTTTATATTATTTCATATCATTATTTTATTTTATTAAACTAGCTGTGCGCTGTACGCGTTTCAATGTCATTATTTGAGCAGAAGCATTCACGGAATCGCATAAAACAACAAACGAATAATAGTCAGAGGAATACATAAAAATCGAACAAAGAAAAGAATGTCACAGAATGAATAATAGCTAATATTAATTTTTTGTCAGCAACTCTAATAATACGAGTAATCATCATCATCATCATCATTACATCCCTTCACAAGTCCACTGCTGAACATAGGCCTTACCAAGGAATGTCATAAAGCACAGTCCTGAGCCACATGCATCCATCGTCATGCCAGGTCGTCACTCCAAGTCGAAAATGAATTATTTAAACGTGACAAAAACACTATAAATCGGATATTTGCATACCATCTCCTGTCGAAGTTGAAGGTTTATGTTTCCTTGGTCGACCGCGCCCGCGTTTCTCATCAGATGACTGCGGTATATCTTCTGACTCCAAATCAGACTGTTCCGCGTCTTCCAGCATCTTTTGCTGCACTTTGGATATATTCGCTTCCAACTGGCTTACGTGTTCACCAAACTAAAATGCATCGCAATTAAAACAAAAAAAGTGTTAAATATTAATTATAACATAAGTCTTATGTATCATGTGTGTATCTAGGAGATATTTTGCAAACGAATCCATAACTCTTTAGCGCCAGAAAAATCGCATAGACGGATAATAAAAACAATAACGTCCTCCAGACCGAATTCCGCCACGGCGGCCAGCCTTAACGAAGACTAACCATCGGCGCAGGAAAGGTTTATAGTGCCCAAGTGTATGCACAAGCACAAGTGCACTCTATATTCCCTCAGTCTCATAATCCGATGGGTCGGTAAACTGACACGAACTCCGAGAAATCAGACGCAGGACCAACAGCTTTACGTGCTAACCGAGGCACGGGGATGAGATACCGCCAACTTCCTGACTCCGGGCCTATACTGAAAATTTCTTGACGGAATACTCAATAACTGATTTTGTTTTGGCCCGACCCAGGATTCGAACCCGGGACCTTACGATAGGCAGTCGCGTTTACAACCACCAGACAAACGAGGCAGTCACATAGACAGATAGACAATGGTGAACCAATTTAGGTAAATTTTTAGATAGCGAGGTTTTACAATCTGAAGGAAACACAAATATTATAGAACACACCATCATACGTGATATTATGTTAAAAACACAATAAAAAGGGAATGTCAAATAAAATAATTATGAGTCAGAAGCACTGAAAATAAACAGCCAAAAATAAATAGATATAACAGTCGTTTTACCTACCTGTTCGAGTGCTTCCCGAGTAACTTTCAATATCGTCTCAGCCTGTCGAGTGAACTGCGAATTGATCCCATTGTATGCGCGACAATTGTCCACCAACAGTTGGACATCTTTCAAGAAGTCTTCGCGACTATGATATTTGTGAGCTATAAAATTAATTATTTGAATTAATCACTACCAGCCTCGTAAGTGTTTTTTTTTATAGAATAAGGGTGACAAACGAGCACACAGTTCCATGATGGTAAGTGGATGCTGTGGCCCATAGACATCTAACACATCAACAGAATCTTTACTTTAATCCATTACGACGTTGCAATCGCGGTGGGCGGTTTTCATGGGCTCGGGAGCATTTACCATGGAGTGACGAACAACGGTCTTTGATGCTGTTCACACATGAGTTTCGGTTTGGGTTTCATCCGGATTCACGAAGAATACGCGTTTGGAGAACTCCAGGAAGAGTTAGCCGTCTACGGCACAGGAGGTCTACTCATACCAAGGCGGGACAATCATGGTGTGGGCAAGAATTCGTCTTGGCGGACGAACCCAGCTCGATTGGATCCAAGGCAGCATGACTGCACAAGAATACCACGAGGAGGTAGTAGAGCCTGTTATTGTCCCACACAGAATCCAAACGGACCAGGAAGTTTTAATCATGCACAATAATGCTCGATCACGATATTCATATTGGTATTGGATTGGCCTGCACAGTCGCCCGACTTAAATCCTATCCAGCATGCCTAGAACATGTTACAACGAAAAGCTTTGAGAGATTTCCCGCCAAATTTGACGATGGAACAACAACTTTATGAACACTTGTAAATAACATGGAACATCATACCGCAGCAAGACATTGACAATTAAATTTTAAGTGTGAACAAAAAAAAAACAAAAACAAATGTGTTTTTTTTTTTTTAATTTTAATTAAAATTAATAGTTTTATAAGATGTGAAATTATTTTAACATACTAATTTTCTACGGCGATTAAAAAATTAACTTTTTTATTTAAAAAAAAAGTTTTTATAAAACACCTTAAGGCGCAGGTTGAGCAAAATGTCGCGCTAGTCGTTATTTGTGCGGTTTTTAGGAGCTATCTACTTTTTATTTAAAAGATATATCAACAAATAAAAAACACATTATATTTCTACATAATCTTGATTCCATAAAAGGTATATCCAATTTTTTTAAAGGAATAAAAATTAATATAATCTCCTTACAACGAAACCACATAAATGTGAAATTATTATTGATAACATGCATCTCCTCGTAAAGTAAGTATTATTTTATTTTGCGATTTACACCAATGGATAGGCAATTTATTAATGAACATTTCTATAGTAATTTTTTTTTTCAAAAACCAAAATTTGAGTTTATTAAGAAATTATTTTAAAATCTGGGCATATTCACTGCTCACGGGCTTGCTGAAGTCAGTGAGCCCTGAGCTCTTCGACGTGAAGCCCGTGTCGTTAGAGCGTCGACCAGCGCATACACTCACGTCATATCAGTCGATAATAATATTACTTATTAGGTTATTTATAGGTAGTATTATTTGTTTGTTTTGGGTATAATTTGTTGTGTTTTTTAATGCGATGAAGCTTTTTGCGTGTATTTTCTTTGAAGTAAATGCAAATAAAAAAATAAAGCACCATTAGCATGTAAGGTTCGAATCCATAATTAAAATTTCGACAAATATTATAATTTACACTATAAAAGGCTAATTCAATATTATCACCCAACCACCATATCTTATTAAGTATAGCACTGCCTCGTTGGTCTAGTGGTTGTAGTAGTGCGACTGCTGATCATGAGGTCCCGGGTTCGAATCCTGGGTCGGGCCAAAAAGTCAGTTATGAGTTTTTCATTTATGTTCTATGTTATAATTAGTATTACTAAGTTATAGTGTTTTGCTAAAATATAGTATATTATTTATTGCTTGTTTTTACTTCTTTTTCAAAAAATAATTGAGTACATAAGGTGTTCTATACTTATAATTCGGTAAAAAGTATCTAAGTAGGTACTAATATACTACTTTTTACTATTAACTAAAAAAATTTACAACTAATTTTAACTAAAAAGACTAAACTGACCATTTATTTTTTAACTCAAAACAGGACATGGGTTTATTTATACTCTAAAAACTATAACTTTATACAATTAGTGTTCACTGTAAAATTATATTCGGTATAGACGGTAATTATTAAATGCAACATATTTTTTTTAATTATTAATTACATTTGTCAGTGGATTAAATTTGCTTTAATAAAGTTGGTGATGATTTTAAATAAAAATAAAATTCTGCTCAAGTTTTTTTTATTGTTATCTTTGTTAACAACATCGCCTTTAGAACTCTGGAACCGTAAGTGTTTCTTTCAGACGTCCACAATTTATTCAAAATAAAAAAATACTCTTTCTACCGGAGCATTCGTACCAGGTAGACATAAAATATATTCGATTAAAAAAAATTATGTTGAAGATTGTTGACTTTAAATACTTCCATCCGACGAGTTACGGGACAATTTTGTGTCCCGGAGCTTTGCTTGGGGACAATGGGACAGGTGACCGAGAAAAGGGACAGTCCCGTTCAAAACGGGACGCATGGTCACTTTAGCTATAACCCGGCGACGGCTCCGTGGCGCAGTGGCTTAGCAATCAGTTGTTGCGCTGGGGGCCGCGGGTTCGAATCTCGCACGGAACAAGTATTTGTATGGCCTACAAATAATTGTTCCGGGTCTGGATGTTTGTCCTTATGCAATTTATGTTTGTAAACTGCCTCCACGACACAGGAGAAAATCCTAGTGTGGGGGTAACGTTTTTTTACAATTGAAATTGAAAGATTGAACCCTTATACTTCTTGTTGATTTTTGTATTACCTTAATAAATATAATTACGTATGTAGGAATAAAATTGATTTTCATCCTCATCAATCATTGGGGCGAGGATAATGTCTGCCAGCATAAGTAATAAGCAGGCTAAGTTACAAGGTGCTCAGTTCAAAAGTTTGTAGGTAGGTATGTTACTTTTCAATACGTGACACGTAAAAATTAACAATAATCAAAAACACATCTACGAAACATCCTATTTATTTATTTATTCTTTATTGCACCAAATATTTGTACAAAAGGCGAGCTATCTATTTCTTTACCTATAGTGAATAGGTATCTTTTAAACTCACAATTTTCAATGCTTCATTTTTAATATATAATTAATTATAAAATTTCATAATTAGATAATATATGAAAATACATAATTCTAATATAATGCAACTAATATACCGAATAAAAAAATTAAAATACATTTATCGTTGTACGCTGTGTGTATTTCCATAAATTAGTTTATTGATGTTGAAAAAATAATACTACGTTCTTTTACCTACAATAGGTGGCGTCTTACATATTTCATATTAAGCAATATATTGAGCGAGCGGCGCGCCGCCGGCAAATGCTCAAGGTCGTTCGCATGGAGTAGCCCCTTAAAATAACCTATCATTCTTCCATTTACTATAAGTATCAGAAAATTCTTAATAGATTTTTAGATATTTGATGAAATATAATATATCCCTAGATTCTGTTGATGTGTATACTTCTATCATCGATTAAGAATCAAAATGTAGATGCGTTGTCTACCGTGAGGACTAAGATAGCATGTTTCCTCAAATTTACTGCAATTTATTTATTTATTTATTTAGAAAACCAACAGCGTATATAGAAAATATTAACATTAATGTAACAAACTAAAAGTATGGCCAATAACAGGTTTCCCTTATATTGTTTGATGGTAGGTGTATTGTTGTTAGAAGAAAAGGAAAAAGAACAATCTAATAGATAAATTATAAGCAAAATTATAAGCAATTCAATGTAATGAAGGTGGTCATAAGTTTACAGATCAGGAGAGATAGTCAGGTAGAATGATATATTAGATTACCTTTATATATATATATATATATATATATATAACATAGCTCGTGTGGCTTTACTACTGCTGGGTTTTAAGTTTCCAAGAAAGAATATTTTGCTCACATCACGCTACGCGGACGAGTTAGTGAAAATAGAGCTGATATTTTTGCACAGGTAGGACTAGGGCCCTGTCACCAGCTTGTAAAATAAAGAGTCCATCGTTTTTTGAGTGGAATTTACGTCATCATTACTTTGTCAAGACCTCGTCCGATATTCGGCAAGTAGGCATGGTTGGCACTTGAAGATAAAGTTGACATATTTCCTCTTACATACCCTTTTCATTCAGCACATACGTTTAAACCGTTTCAAACGAAATTATAAGACATTTTGCCGTTCAGTAGCAACGTAACAAACTATTCCATTTCTTCCCATGGAAGTCGTAAAAGGTAACTATGAACAAAGCCAGAAAAATGTTTTTTTTTTATAGGATAGGGTGACAAACGAGCACACAGTCCACCTGATGGTAAGTGGTTGCTGCGGCCCATAGACATCTACATTTGTCCTCGTTTGCGAATCAAAATGCAGATGCCTTGCACCCGTGAGGACTAAGATAGAATGCCTCTTTTCCAGTAAAAAGGGTCTCCGGTTCTCTATACTCACCATACGAAACACAGCAGTGATAAGCTGCTATTTTACGCTGGTATTCTGTGAGAGCGTAGTCCTAGCCCGGTCGAGCCGACCCATTCGTGCTACAACTATACTACTAATATAGCTGGAGCATGGCTCTACCACGTAAAAATGGCATTTAATTGATAGTGGTTAAACTACCTTGTAAATGCTAAACATAGATACCCAGACGGGAAAAGTGTATCGGCCTAGTAAATGTGAAAGGTAATATGTGTAAAAATCTCTATACAAGCTCAACTAAAATAAAGATAATAAGTACCTTGTATCTTCTTGCCCATGGTTTCCATATCAATTGGCTTTTTGATAACATTATAATAATCTTTGACCTGCTTCTTATTAACAGGCTTCACAAATGGCCACGCTTCGGGCATCACCTTCAGTTTAGTTGTCAATAAATTCTCCAATATAAATGACAACGCCACCTGGGAAAGATAACATAATTTAACATAAATTAACTTCTTACCTGTTTTTTGCCGATGAGCTAAAGTGCACCCAAACTGTGTCGTGGTGTAAAGAAAGAACTAGTATGATTACAATTTGTGTAGAATTTCATGTAAGGCCTTGAGAATTCATTTTATTTTGTTTTAAAATCATTAGTAATGCTCAAACATGGCCAAACCAACTCAGGAAGTACCTATAGCCTATCTATAAATATATATAATAAACTACCTGACACATGGACGGAAGAGGACTACGACAACAGATTTATAAACAAATTAAAGAAATTGTTAATGACTAAATGCTGCTATGACGTTCATGAATATTTTAATGATAATATATAATTGAGTAATTTATTTACTAATTTATTATATAATTATTTATCATACAATGGAATAAATATAATTAGTTTATTTCAACATGTAAATTACATAACATGTAACCCATTGTGTAACAAGCTCTTCCTCTCTTCTACTCAACTATTTCGTGCCCCAACAGGGTCCACAGTAATCTTCCTACGATAATTTTATTTTTGTCTGTTGTACATTGTGGCTAAAAAATAAATACATTGAAATTGAAATTTGAATTTGGTTTCAGGTGTCCATTGGCTGCAGAAGCTACTTACCATCAGGTGGGCCGTTAGTTCGTTAGTTACTCTAATATTAAAAAAAAATATTACCTGATCATTATCATCAAGAAGTGGGTTAATCTGTTTCTCCAGTTTCATGAGCTGTTCTTCTTTCTCGGCTAATTTTTCAACGCAGCGTTGCAACATGCGCTGGGCTGCCACTGTCAGACTACTGGTTGGACCTAGAATATTACTAAATTTTATAAAATGATCGAATCAAATTATTAGTCTTGTATTAATTAAAATGCGAAATATTGAGATTATTGCCCTATAAATTGGCTATTGCAAAGGTTATATTAAAATATCACATTAAACACCAGACCATCCAGTGCGTTTGAGTTACTGCATATATATAGCAAAAAATAAATTCGCTTAATCCCGTCCTTCCGTATATTCGCCTAAAAAATTCAAATTACTTGATGGTTTTTAATGCGATTTTCCCTATAATTTAGGGAATATTTTGAGGAAGTTTTCAGCGTATAATAACTAAATAATTAATAGCAGAGAAAAATGTATATGTATATGTTATATATTGTAATCAATGCGTAAAAAATAATACCACATTATTAAATCGTACCATGCAAAGCATTGTTATAAAGAAGGAATAAATGTAGAAATAAACAAATTAATTTATTTGTTTTGGGAATATAATATTAATTATAATATAATTTAAACACCAATAAATATAATATTGCAATAAAGAGTTAGTGAGCAGCTATAAATAAAATATTATGCTCAAGTTGGGAAGGTTTTCATGTCTAATTCAATATAACCTATGTATGATAACATTTCACATGATGTCAGAAAAGATATTCCTTAATACATAATATGCTAAATATTATGCCAATAAACAACATAATTACCATTATAAAGTGTAGAATTTTCAACAATCTGATTGACGTCAGCTAAAAACTCTTCACGACTCTGATAGTGTTTCTGTCGCAAGTTATCTCTGATGGTCTGTAAGTCCATTGGCCTCGACACTATGCGGTAATAATCAGCAACTAGCTGAAATAAATTAAATAATTGTTCATACATTATTATATTAACTTTTTATTAATTTCGAGTAAAATAGCCATAGTTTGGTTATATAAATATGTAGTGACATACACAACTACGTTAGTGTTGGTTGAGTTATTGAGTCTAAACCCAAAACCATTGATTTAATGCATAATAGTACCACAGTCTATAAATCCATACAGTCGTCCGACGAAGACGTCTACACAGAGCAATCGTGCGGGGTGTGAGGGGTGAGACGCGGGAAGGACGAGCCCGAGCTGCTCATGCCAATCGTATTAGTAGCTCGGGACACGACTTCCAAGGTTAACGCGCGTTTGCTTTTATAATTTTTAAATTTAGTGTTGATACTTATAATTAAAATGGTTCATACGACGTGTGCTGTGAGAGATTGCAAGTCGTTATCTCGCATAAATAAAGATCTGCCATTTCACCAAATCCCACACACGGAAGAAAGGCAAATAAATATTGTTATTATTTTTACATTATGTATATTTTGTCATGTCATGCAAAATTGCCAACGTAAAAAAATAGCGGACGTAAAAAATAGGTACTAGTCGCTGGGCATTACTGTTTCGAAGTTTGATTTTTTTTCATCTAAATCGTGTGGTTGGACAGGCTAAGATTTTAGACCATACTATAGTGCCTCGTCTTCGGTCTTTCGAAGTTTTTTTATAAAATATTAAGATTTAGGGGTCAATTTTTAGGTTTGTCGGGGTGCTAATTACGAAAATAGCATTTATTTTTAAATCCAAGATAGCGGTCATTTTTTAATATATGTATGATATGGATGTCAATTTCAAAGAATCTTGGGGTGTTTTTTTTATTTTTAGTTAATTACGAAAACGGAATCCATTTTCATTACCAAGTTGGTGAACATTTTTTTAATATTATTTGGGTCTCAATTTCGAGGTTTCTTGTGGTGCTGATTACGAAAATGGAATTCATTTTTAAATCTAAGATGGTGAACATTTTTTTAATGTTATGGATGTCAATTTCGAGGTTTCTTGAGTGCCAATTACGAAAACGGCATCAATTTTGTTATCCAAGATGGTGGATTTTTTTTAAATAATACATTATGGATGTTAAATTTAAGGTTTCTGGGGGATGATAATTATAAAAATTTATTCATAAGTATTGTATTTAAAAAATTCAAATGCAAATTATGGATGGAAGTTATTGGAAGACCTGATTTAGTTGGAAGAACTTTCGAAAGCCCAAAGAATCAATTTTAAAATAATATTAGTTTATTTTAAAATTGATTCAATGTCTGTAGTAATTGTAACGTTAATAATAATATGGATTTCATGTCTAGCTAAGAGTATAAGAATGATTTTATGTAGCGAAATTGAGGTATAGCCACATATCGAGAGTAGAGCACTCCCTCACGTTGTGAGGCGTGCAATTAAGGTTTTGAGTACTTTCAGGAAAAATCTAAGAACAAATTGTTACTTATTTTTTATATTAGTAATCATACTGTTGATAACGATGTAGATCTAAAATAAATAATTAAATTAGTAAAAGTTGTTAATTTGTGACAACCCTAACATCCATACGCTGTCTAGACGTTGTCGGCATTTACCTCGAGATCAAAGGCGTGTTTATTATACTGTGATAATACATTACGATACGATTAAACTTTAATGAGTAATATCTATTAGAATACTTTAAATTACAAACAAACCATTAAATCATTTGATCAAGAATTATAAAAAACTAACTGTTCCCTGCTACTTCGCCCGCATGCAATTTAGGGTTTTAATTTTTTTGCAAGGAACCCTAATTATTTTTCTATAATAAAAGTAGCCTAAGTTACTCTTTATGACATCAGCTATATGCCAGTGAAAGTCCAGTCAAAATCGATCCAGCCGTTTCGGAGATTAGCCGGAACAAACAGATAGACAGACGGACAAAGATTTTAAAAAGTGTATTTTTGTTATAAGTACCGTTTATACTTTCATATGCAATTAGTAAAACGCTGTAATTTTGACATTACAAACAGACACTTCGATTTTATCTATACAAATAAATAATCGTTTAAATTTTTTGTACATTTTTAGCTTTAACTGTATTATTAATCATATACATATATGCCAACATCTGGATCATACAAAACTTCTATAAATCGAGTCTCGTTGCACCTTAGGTCCCGTTTAATTAAATCTTTACATTAATGTTGTAATTCTTGTACTAAATCTGTTTGATTATTTTATTATTATATTTAGATTTTTTGATTAAAAAGAAAATTAAGAAATTATAAAGCTAATTTTAATTCAGATAGAAGTGATTTATTTTTTCTTAAATTCTAAGCATAAAAAGGCAAAGCAATTGAGTTTTTAATTAATTATTCGACCTTATTTTTAATTAATTATTCACCTCCTAGTGGAAATAGACAGAATAACTAAAACGGTAAACTCTTTAGCTATTAAATATAACAAGCTGACGCTACCACGTGAATCCAAAATAAAGAAAACATTAAAGTGAATAAATACTTATTTAGAATCGTTGTAATTTGAAACTCGATGAAATTAACGAGAACTAAAAAGAGACCAACATCTATAGGCTTTAGCTTAAGAGAGAATGAAATAGAATACGGTATACAGTGTTTCTTATTATGTATGGAGATTATGCATGCGATTTATAAGCAGTAAGGATTAAGGACGTTTGTTGATTAGAAAATATTTAAGTATTAAATTATTAAAATACGTATTTAGTTTTCAATTTCATCAAATTGAAGGATGTGATATATTTTGTTTTAAATAAACCCCACAATTATTCTACTCCCGATACTATGCATACATCGTATTTTCTCGAAGTTTAGTTTACTGAAAGATGTTTGGGCAAATTATAAATAAAATGTAATAAAATAATAATGTCTGTGGAATCACTTTGTGAACGTGTGGCAATTGATGCATTTCGCTTCCGGGTTGACTTTTGACTTGATCTACGGACGCGCCCGCATAAAACAATAAGTTTATCTATGGGCAACATGGAAGACGCCATGATGAGTTGAGTGTTCCCGCCGCATATATTGCATATATTATTTTTCAGCTCGAGTGATTATTGAGTTTTTGAAGCTACCTTAATGGAGTGTCTCAAATATCGTCCAACCGAGGAATTTGGAGATTCGGTAAGCGTTTTGCATGTTTTGGTCTCACTTCCATGAAGTATTTTCCACAGGCATTCCAGATTTGTATTTTAATGTTATATTATAATTACCGCATATTCTTATTCTCCCGCATTTAGTAAATAATAAAGTTACAGTCCACTTGTTCTTTTCTATAACCAGAAGTTTTCACTTCTAGTGCGTGTGAAGTGCACAGATTGTACTTTACAAAGCATAGAGTTGAAATTGGGTCACCTTAGGGTTGACGGGGAAGAGGAAGGGCTGCACGTCGGGCAGGTGGCGCATGTGGTTGAGCACGTCCTCCAGCAGCGAGGAGAGCGTGACGAGCGGGTCGGTGCGGCGGCGCTCGGCCGGGCGGCGCACCAGGTAGTCGCACGGCTCGCTGGCCGTGCCGCGCCGCTTGGTCCTGCCCGCCGCGCGCACCTCGCGCCGCCCCATGCCGCCGCGACGCTTCAACTCCTCCGCCGATTGCTGACACACATTTTAATCATGATACTAGTCTTCTTACTTATGCTTTCTTCATCCACCAACACACACACACACACACACCCCAAATCATACATACAACAACACTCCTACACTCACATTCACACACTCCTTAATATACATGTACTAATTACAAATTCTCTAGAGATTAAACTTTTTATAATCTTACTTTTTATAATCCTTGAGGGAAGTAGCGGGTCATTCCACGAGTATCCTCTGATTACTCACTGGGAAGTCTTAGTAACATGTTGTGAACATGATTACCGAAATAAACGCATTATTTAAAACAAATATTTTACCGTGGCAGTTCAGGGGTTAAGCGCTCGCTGTAAATGTCACAGTACGCCAGCAACCCAAGTTCGTTCCGTGTCGGCACCAATGAAATTATAAATTGCAATTTTAAGTGCTGATTTACCACATGCTCGGCGGTGGAGGAAAACATCGTAAGGCGACCTGTACGTTTGAGAAATAATAAAAAAAAATCGCAAACATGTAAAGTTTGCCAACACACGCCTGTACTCAGCAGTGAGACGTATAGAAGCTGTAACTTTTTTAATTTTTTTTAAAGAATATGTACTATTAGTGTTACAAGTAATCTCGTTAACGTCCTACTAAGCATAAACTAAAGGTAGAAGCTATTTACGACAGTAGTCGAATAACAGATTCGAACGATTTTTTACTTTTGCAGTCCATAATCTAAACCATAAGGTTAAAATACTTTATTACAGTTAAGAAGCGTCTCTTTTTAGTCTTTAAATGTGCCCACGCTCCTTTTTTCTACTTGTTTATGAATTGAAGACAGATGGTGTCTATGGACCGACCACCCACTTACCAAAACGTGAAAATAGCGACACGACTTGTCACACATCAATTAAGTGTTTGTGCATGCTTATCAAAGCCCGGCAATGCACCTGCAATTCCACTGGTGTAGCAAGTGTTTATGGATGGCGGTCGATACTTAACCATCAAGTGAGCCGCATGCTTGTTTGACCCTTTTCTATATTAAAAAAAATTACAATGTCGAGCTACTATACTACAGGCAACGGTTTTACATATTGCAGCTGTGTTGTAACACGAATGACTCGACTCGCCTTGGGCCTACCCCGGTACATGACCACACTCTACAGAATACCAGCATAAAATAGCAGCTTGATGCTATTGTGTTTCGTATGGTAAGTATGAAGAACTGGAGACCCTATTTACTGTAAACGAGGCATTCCATTTTAGTCCTCAGGGGTGACAACGCATCTACATTTTGATTGTTAATCGAGAATAAATGGAGATTTATATGGGCCTCAGCATTCACTTACCATCAGGTGGACTGTGCGGTTGTTCGTCACCCATCTTCATATATATAATTCTTCTCTCTGTGTGTATGTGACTGAACTCCTCCTAAACGGTTTTGTGTGTGTGTGTGTGATTAAGTCGATTCGAGAATAGTTTAGATTCACAATTGGAGCCGGTAGGTAGCACTGTTGTCGAGTTCCAGTATGTTACCTTGATGAGCTTGGAGGGCAGCGTGAGCTTGGTGCCGTCGACGTAGCCGAGGTCGTCGTCGTCGGGGTCGGGCGGCGGGTCGGCGTCGTGGTCGGGCGAGGGCGGCGCGCCCGGCTGGCCGGTGTACAGCGGGCACGCCTTGTTGGTGCGCATGTGCCCCACCTGCCCGCACGCGCCGCACTGCACGCCGCACAACGCACACACACAACCGTTACATTACTTCAATATTTACCAATCACATTATAAAATAAAAAAGTTAGGTTTGCTTTTTGGTGCGTAATCATTTATTAAATACAACGCTTCTTATATGAATCATCCCTGTCATTTATATTGTTAGACATAACGGGTGGGCCAGAAAGGAGTACGATTTTAAAAACACTCTTGCGTTTGAAGCTTTAGAGAGGGGACTGCGCGGGTGGTGGGGTTAAGTAGGTCGGTTCTCGGAAATTTAGTCGCGATAGATCACTTCACGGGAGCGCAACGTGCATTCTGCGTTAAACATTATTATAAAAATCACGATTCGTGCGCTATTGTTCGGCGTTTATTTCGACGTGAATTTGGATTACATGACCTAAATCAGTGTCCGAAAGAAAGCGTGATTCGATCGTGGGTCAGAAAGTTCGAAGCTACTGGTTCGACTCTCAAACAGAAGCCTGCGGGACGCCCAAGGTCAACAAGAACGGAAGACACAATTGAACAAGTTAGAGCTTCAGTTCAACGTAATCCTGCTCTATCGACTCGAAAGCGTTCAGCCGAACTTGTGGTGTCCAGAACATCTTTGCGTCGCATTTTGTTGAAAGATCTGAAATTGCATCCGTATAAAATTCAATTTGTGCAGGAATTACAGCCAAATGCTCCAATTTTAAGGAGAGCTTTTGTTGAAACCATGCTGGAACGCTTTCGGAGTTTCAAAAATATTCTGTTCTCCGACGAAGCCCATTTTCACATAAATGGGCAGGTGAATAAACAGAATTGCCGTTACTGGGCTGCAGAGAACCCACGTGCAAAACATCAAGAGCCTCTACATTCGCCGAAAGTAACCGTTTGGGCGGCCATGTCAGCGCACGGAATTATCGGACCCCACTTCTTCGAAAATCGACAAGGCCAATCTGTCACTGTAAATTCTGACCGATACATAGCCATGTTAAGGGATTTTTTCTTTCCACAACTGCAACAATTTAAAGCCTATAATCGTGCGACATGGTTTCAACAAGATGGCGCGACATGCCACACAGCTAATGCCTCTTTGGCGGTCGTAAACGAGATATTTCGTGAGAAACTGATATCGCACCGAGGTGACATTGAATGGCCTCCTAGAAGTCCGGATCTTACACCACTGGACTTTTTTTTGTGGGGATACCTGAAAAGTCGAGTCTACTCCAATAACCCAGCCACAACTGACCAGTTGAAGACCAATATCCGGAAAGAAATGGCAGATATTCCCCGTGCAATGTGCCAGCGAGTTTTTACCAATTTGAGGTTCAGATTCGAAGAATGTTTGCAGCGCGATGGTGCACATCTGGATGACGTTATTTTTAAGAAATGAATTTCCCAGATGTAAATTTTTGTAGAAATAAAAAATTGTATGTGAATTGTACTTAGATTTTTTTAATGATTTTTTCAAATTCGCAATTCTTTCTGGCCCACCCTGTATATATTTATAAGTTATTTATATGTACTATTTATATATATGTTGATATGTATATATGTATGTATGTATATATGTATAAATAGGAGATATTTCTATAATTTATTTATTGTATATATTAGTAAAATGTATTTATAACGTAATTATCATTTTTATTTTATTTTTATTCTATATTGCTACTGGTACTGGACTGGTGGAGAATGCCTTAAGGCATTAAGTCCGCCCTTTGTATTCTTTTAAATTAAGCAATGCAATAAAGAATAAATAAATAAATTATAACATAATAATATTAGGTGGCGTTCTTCTGGAAAAAAATATCAATAACAGTGATCTTGTCTTAAATTATATAATGTAATGGACAATTTTAATCTACATTAAATACCCAAGGTAATTAATGCCCAAATACTCAATAACTACTCAATTTTAAAATACCATTAAGTATCGTGTAGTGGCGGTGTAAGAATATCCACTGCCCCATGTGTAAGAGGCGATAGAGGGAAACTGAAACAGGACATGGGCAGCAGCATCTTCCTAATAACAATACAAAATGATTTAAAAAAACTGCAATTGCTAACCCGCAAAGCGTCGCAACTATGGCAATTTATAGCAGAAGCCTATGTTCAGCAGTGGACTACTATAGCCTGTCATGGATGGTTTATTCTAATGCTGTCTTTATCACTCCTAAGTCACAGTGACTGTGACACCGAAACAACAACATCCTTTTTACTGGAAACGAGGCATTCCATCTTAGTCCTCACGGGTGATAAATGTAGATGTCTATGGGCCACAGCAACTACTTACCATCAGGTGGACTGTGTGCTCGTTTGTCACCGTTATCCTATAAAAAAAAAATCAATATCTAAAAATTGAGTATTTGGCCATTAGATATTTTATCTGCATAAGTATTAATACTGAATTGAAAAAAATAGTTACGCAAATAACTTAATATTTTTAATTAATACGGGACCATGAATTACTTTGCATTAAAATTTAATTTCTCGCGTAAACCGAGCGGAGCGGTAGAGCGGCTAGATCGTTTCTTGGCAATTTAGTCGCAATGGATCCACGGGATCCACATCCACATTCACGGGACCGCAGTGCGCCTTTTATTTGTAAAGCAATATTATTTAAACAATTTTTCACTCATTACTGGGTTGAGTATAATTTACACGACTTAAACCAGAGCCCAACTTGTTTTAATAAAGAAACGGGTGAAGAAGTTCGAGGAGTCGGGACCGACACTAAATGTGAAACAAACTGGAGGCCCATGGATTTCACGAAGAGAAGAAAACATACAACAGAGAGTTTCAGCTTCAGTTCGACGCGATCCTAATTTATCGACACGTAAAAGTTCGGTTGAAATAGGATTATCACACACAACCTTACGTCGTATTTTGAAATTAGATTTAAAATAACATCCATACAAGATTCAGTAAGTGCAGGAATTAAAGCCCAACGATTAAAATTTACGCAGAATGCATGCCGAGACTATGTTGGATCGCTTCTGTAACTTCGACGACATCTTGTTTTCTGATGAAGCCCTTTTCCATTTCAATGATCACGTCAATAAACAGAACTGCAGGTACTGGAGCAGTGTAAATATTAAAGAAAAACATCAAATGCCCCTTCATTCACCTAAGGTAACTGTATGGGCAGCAATTTCTGCTAAAGGAATCATTGGGCCCTATGTGTTCGAGGATTTTCACGGTCGTGCGGTCACTGTTAATTCTACTAAGTATGTAAGAATGTTAAGAGAGTGCCTGTCACCACAGCTACATAAATTTGCTGGTTATAACCGGAATACATGGTTTCAGCAAGACGGAGCTACTCGTCACATATCTAATGAGCCCCTGTCGGTCGTTAAAGAGACGTTTCCGGAAAAGCTGATTTCCCGGAAAGGCGACCTTCCGTGGCCACCCAGAAGTCCTGACTTGACACCATTAGACTTCTTTCTATGTGGATATTTAAAGCATCGTGTGTATACCCACAAGCCAAAAACATTGCATGACTTAAAGGCAAGGATAAAAGAAGAGATGAGAGCAATCTCTCGGGGTATTTATGCCGAAGAATATTCGAAAATGCCCGTGTTAGTTTAGAGGAATGCCGAAGTCGCGAGGGTGGCCATTTAAATGATATTATTTTTAAAAAGTAAACTCCAATGTGTTGGCTTACTCAGAAATAAATAATTTTTTGAATAACTCATATAGTTTTTCTCCTATATTTTTTTATTTATTTATTTATTTATTTAGAAAACCAACAGCGTATATAGAAAATATTAACATTAATGTAACAAACTAAAAGTATGGCCAATAACAGGTTTCCCTTATATTGTTTGATGGTAGGTGTATTGTTGTTAGAAGAAAAGGAAAAAGAACAATCTAATAGATAAATTATAAGCAAAATTATAAGCAATTCAATGTAATGAAGGTGGTCATAAGTTTACAGATCAGGAGAGATAGTCAGGTAGAATGATATATTAGATTACCTTTATATATATATATATATATATATATATATATATATATATATATATATATATATATATATATATATATATATATATATATATATATAAACATATAAGATATATATATATATATATATACATACATATATATTTACTTATGTATATATACATATTAAATGTTTAAATATATAAACATAATACAAATAATTAATTATAATATATATTAAATAAAATAACTTAAGTACTTATATTTATATTAGTAGCCTCAAAAATACATATAGAAGAAATAGATGAGAGAATATATGATTGTATGTGAATTTAACTTCAACTGCTCTATTTCGTAATAGTTTTCTTGATGTAATCTTTAAACGTAAGTTTAGATTTCGCAAAGAGGTCAATGTGTCCAAATTGTTCATTATATGTACGAGCAAGCCGCGAAAGAACAGTGTTTCGACAGTAGTTTGAATGATGCCAGGGAGTCTGTAACAATGTAGTATTGCGGGTACGGAATTTTGGAGTACGAAAGGTGATTCTTGAGACAAGATATGGACAGTCAATATTACTGTTTATTATATCATATAACAAAGCCATGTCAAGCAAAATGCGCCTGTGTTCCAGAGATAAGAGATCGTGCTCAGTGCAATTGTCTGTGTAAGTATGGATTTTATTCCGACAGCGAAAGTTAAGGTGATTAACAAATATTTTTTGAATACGCTCAAGGCGGCTTTTGTAGACATTGTACTGTGGAGACCATATTGAACTAGCATATTCCAAAACACTTCTGACATATGCAAAATAAACCATTTTAATTGTATTAATATTCGAGAATGTTAACATACTCATGACCCACTGCAATATAAAGATAAAAATGGTTACTTAAAATGGTTAATCAGTACCTAAGACATATGAAATCAAACACTTCTCAAAGCTTTTTGAAAAACTACAACACTTTTGTACATTATTTTGATGATATTTTTTGAAGTCTTGGTTACATAACATTGAATTTTCTCTACTATATAAAACTTTAATTAAAATGTTTATACATACTTAACTTGTGTAAAAAATCTCTAAATGGTAATGAAAACGTATCAAAATCCGTTACGTGTCTTAGTAAAAATAATAAGAGAAACAACAATGATGAGAACAGGCGCAGTAAGTATTATATTTTAAACGGAATTTTTACTTGTACGATAATTATGGGAAAGTTTGTGAAATCACAAAACTTGTATTTAGTGTCATTATATTTGTTATTTTTGAAGAATAAATGACCAGAGTATTAATATGAGATCAACCGTGAGCGTTGCGAGCGCTCCATAAAATTAATATATATGAAAAAAATGTTTTATGTCAAAAATCCTAGTTAGATTTCATGCGTCATAATATTTCAGATTTCTCTTATATCCAAGCTAAAAACACACTGATACAAATATGATGTAACGGTATAAATTCAAATATAACATAAAAATAACCTTCAGCTTCAAGTCGGGCTTAAGTTTCGCTCGTCGCCTAGAAGGAGTGTGAAGATCTGGCTCCTGCTTTATTTGGCCTAAAGGAATTAACCCTGACGATGGTGAACCTAGATCTGTTGATGACGACATGTTTAGACCTGTAGGTAAACAAATATTTCAATTATAATAAGCACTATAAAACAAAGTATTTATGTTCACTTCTTCATAAATTAAAATATTAACAACGATAAAAGCACAACATCTTTCATTTTTTTAAATTCAATCAACTCACTGTCATTATTTCCTGGGAATTGACCAGGCACTGTCACATTTCCTGCAAGCCTTTCTCTTTCCTGGTTTCTCTTAATGCGTCTCAGTTGTTCCTAAAATTAAATAATAAATCCGGTTACTTTAACACACATAGTTTACTTAGGTAACATTACAAATAAAGGGAAATGCAAATACTCCAAAATTGTTTACTTTTAAAAAATTACAACCGTTTATAAATTCTTACTTGGGATCCTAACTACAAAACTAGCTGGGTCATAATAATAAATTATCTAAAATATTATTAAATGTATAATTTATTCGACCATAAAACATCAAAGTCCATGATATAATACTAGGTAGTGGGACAGCTATACTACCTAGAAGTCCGTCCGGGTGTGTACCACCTTCTTAGATATTACTGCCGCCAAATAGCAGTACTTGCACATAAGCTGTGAGGCATTCCGTCTTAGTCCACAGATGTGACAACGCATGTTGCCTTCTTGAATTTGGTTGCAGGTGTCCATGGGCTCTAGTAGCCACATACGATTAGGTGGACTGTATGTTCGTTTGTCACTTGAGTTTTATAAAAAAAGAAGCAAATTTCTTTTACCAACATTAGTTACTATTAGCCAAATGAGTGCTCCATGCAAATTCATGAAACAAACCTGAATCCTTCGTTTCTCCCGCTTCATCTCTTCTTTCTGTGTCTCGTCCATAGTCGCAAACTGACGTATAAACGCTTCGTCTTTAGTGGAACGTATCTTAGTATATGCTTCAATCACGGCCGCCTTCCTTACTAACTCCACTCGAGTGTACCGCTGCCCAGAAGCGTTACGGAACGTACGAACGATACGTAATACACGTCCTGGACAGAATAAGCACAGATATAAACCAGAATCGAAGGAAACAAAAAGAATTAGTTAATTTAAATATACTGTCAAGCGATTCTACAGTGTTATCGATACTAAAGCACTAAGCTAAACTCATAAGTTGGCCTTGTTTTACAAGTCATATTATACGATAATTAAATAAATATTAAGAAAAATTAAAATTAGAAAAACATGGTTTTATTGGAATAAGAACTAAAGTATCAAATAATTGAATAGATGTTCTAGAAATCTTTACATCATAATCTTTGAAATTGTTAAAATAAGTGTGGAATAAAACCGTCGAGAATTAAAAATAAGTAAAAACTAAAAGCGATATAATCCGTAAAATTGGTTTATATCGTAATAATGTGTACGAGGGCGGCACTGAAAATTTCGGGAATCAAGGAAGTGACACAACATTACTATTTAAAAATGTATTTATTGCTTTTCGAAGTATTCTCCGCGAAATTTGACACATTTTTCCATACGATGGAACCAATCATTGAAGCAACCATTCCATTCAGAAGTTGGGGTCTCCAAAATGGCCGTTTTGTAGGCGTCCACAGCTTTTTCATGTGATGAAAATCTCATTTTTTATTTTAGGGAAAGTATAGAAATCATTAGGGCTTAGATCGGGGCTGTACGGCGGATGGTCTAATAATTCTATGTTTTTTTGCTCTAAAAACTCTTTTGTGCTGTGTGCGGTGTGAGAACTCGCATTGTCGTGATGGAGGATGATGCGGCGGTTGCAGTTCTCTTTACGGAGTTCAGAAACTACCTGTGGAAAATAAATGCTGGCATACCATTCTGCATTAACCGTTCTTTGTCCCTTAAGAGGAATAGTCGTAACATGGCCGGTTTTGGAGACAAACGTAGCCTCCATTTTTTTTTGGAACACTCCGTGAACAAACAATTTTTGTTGGCTTTAACTCATTTTCGAACACCCAAACTCGTGACTGGTTTTTTGTTTCGGGTTCGTACGCGTATATCCAGGATTCGTCACCTAATACGATGTTGTATACAGCATTTGAGGATCCTGCGTGGAATCTTTCGAGAGTTCTGACGCACCAAGTAACGCGAGCCGCTTTTTGCTCTTCACAGAGCGAATGCGGTATCCATCGGGAAAACAACTTTTTTACACCTAATTGTTCATGCAAGATTATTTGTATTTGACTCATGCCAATGTCTAAAGTTGCCTGAATTTCGCGGTATGTCACATGTCGATCTTCCTCAATCAGCTTACGCACAGCATCAACGTTTTCTTGGGTGACTGCAGTTTTTGGGCGACCTTGACGGGGATCATCACTGAGCTTGACACGTCCACGTTGAAATTCAGCAAATCAGCGATAAATTGTGGTTTTGGATGAGGCTTCATCACCAAATGCAGAAATCATCCGGTCAACACACTGTTTTTGTGTTAAACCACTTCGAAAGTCATAATAATTTTTTTTTTTTTTATGGGATAAGGGTGATAAACGAGCACACAGTCCACCTGATGGTAAGTGGTTGCTGCGGCCCATAGACATCTACATCTATCCTCTATTACAAATCAATATGTAGACGCGTTGCCACCCGTGAGGACTAAGATGAAATGCCTCATTTCCAGTAAAAAGGGCCTCCGGCCACCTGCACTCACCAAGCGAAACGCAGAGGTAAACCTATACTTCACGCTGGTTTTCTGTGAGGTCGTGGTACCACCCCGGTTCGAGCAGGCCCATCCGTGCGACAGCAAAAGCTGCCGCGTGGCTCTACCACTGTAATCATCGCTCTTGAATTTTCTCGAGTTAATTCCATTTTCTCAACGACTAAACAAGTTTGATAAAACCTTGTGGCAAGACCGAGCATCTTTTTTTAAATAAATAAATGGTATTCGATTTTTAAAACCAAGGAATTTTCGATTAAAAAGATTTTAATATGACAGGTACAGTGGAAATATTCTATTCCCGATACTTTTAGTGCAGCCCTCGTAACATTCGCGTCAATATAAAAAATGATTATGAAATAAGTATTGATTAAGACATTCACATGTAAATTCAAGCACACACTTATTTATGATGTTTACAAACCTTGATTTGAAGTCTGCTGCTGATCATTTTGATTGATCTGCGGTTTCTTTTCAGACTGTCCTAGAATCATTTTCCTCAGTTCCGCTCTTTCTGCTTCTTCCCTTTCTAATGATAACTGTCAAAGATATTAGAAAATTACATTAAAGCTCTAAAATTATTCGCTTTTTAGTTTCTAATACAAACCCAAATTATTTTCATAAAAACATAAATTATGTTTTACTTGTTCCGTAGTTTTCTTGTTGGCCAACATATTCTCCAAGTTCTTGCCCATCTCCTCCAAATCAGATTCCTCGCTGACAGAGCTCTCGGCTTCATCTGTACTCAGCACTTCCGTACTTGTAAGTACTCGATTCTGAAGCTCGAATATACGCTGACACTCTTCTTTGTACCTATATGGGAGTGGAAGAAATAAAATTAATAACTAAATATTATATTCTATTTTGTATAACACTTGTATTTTATCAAATGGAAAATACATAAAATATAGACGTAGAACTACGACACAAATAAAAAATTTGGTATATCTATACATATAATAAAAATGTAAATAGTAGATGTCTGTACATTTTATATTTTTGTAATAAAATTGATTGAGAGGTACTAAAAATAAGTAATCAAATACATTTCTACCATTTTTAGATTTTTCTGTCTGTCTGTCTGTCTGTCTGTCTGTCTGTTTGTTTGTTAACGTATCACGTATAAAGTACTAATTTATATCATAAGAATAGTTAAGGAAATTATTAAGTGTATATTCAGGTTACATTTAGTCTTAATTTCATTAAAATTGGTTAATTCCATCAAAAGTTATGACAAATATTCTGAAGTATGGGTACTAAGTATAGGTACGAATTTGTTCAATAGTGGCGTTGGATGAGTCATCAAGTACATTTTAAAATAATATCATATTATAAATCATAATTAAATGATGTAAAATAATGTTCTATAATGATATAATTATATCTAAAAGGCAGTAAACAAAAGTATTACATAAAGAACGTAATAAATATATACAAAATATATTAACCTTATTATCTAAACTAAATTAAAGTACAATAGTTAACCAATTTCATCGATAGATGGTGGTGTGGCACAAATGTGATATCAAGTTCATTTAATCTTTGTTTTATTGAAATTGGTTAATTCTATCGAAAGTTATGATTATTATTTTGAAATGTAGGTTCGAATTTGTTTAAAGGCGCCACAAAATCTCAGAAATAGTAATAAAAAGATTTGTGTGTAAAAAAAAAGTTCTGTTATAATATATTTCGTATCGTTCTATTATAGTACTTAAAACACAGTAAAAACATGTTTTCCTTAAATTAAAAAAGGATGTTTTCTCACAAAGAACGTAATAGATGGCGTTGTACAAATTACAACCTTTTCTGAATTGCGATGTTAAGATTTTTCGCAGGTGAATCGTATTGAGACTCACTGAACCAGAAATACAAACCAGGAAAAAGAGATATTGAAATATTCAATTCAATTATACAACAATATTACAAAACTCGACTAAAAGTAGCAAAATTGCAATAAATGTCGTGATAGTGATATTGTTTTATACCCAGAATCCCTCTAATACCAAATAACTTTCCTTTCAGTTTTAAGTAAAGTAAAGTTGCAGCCTATTTACGGCCCACTGCTGGGCACAGGCCTCCTCTCATTTCTGAGAGGGTTTTAGGGCAAGGAAATGTCCACCGCGCTGCCCCAATACGTGTTGGCGAACATGCAGGTTTCCTCACGATGTTTTCCTTCACCGCCGAGCACGTGGTAAATCAGCACTTAAAATTGCAATTAACAATTTCATTGGTGCCGGCGGGGATCGAACCCGGGTTGCTCGAGTACTGTGAAGCTTACAGCGAGCGCTTACCATCTGAGCTACCACGGCTCAGGCTTCAGTTTTAAGATAGGGATAATAACATCGATGATGACATCGATGTTGGCATCGACAGCTCAACATCGATGTTCGATGTTTAGGCTACTCAAAACATCGATGTTGACCATTATCGATGGTTTTTGTATATGTGTAGATACTTACACATTGTTTCAAAATTATGTGGGTATACACAGCAAGGGAAAAGTAACAATTAACTTGAATATCAATTTACGTAGAATAGTTATTATGCGACAACCGACAACGACACTACAAAATAAAGCGAAAGCAGTGACCATTGTGACATTACAGGAGACACTTGACAATTAAGTTTGACTCACCATACTTACATTTTTTTAGGTTAACGATGCGTTCAGAAATTCTGAATTATTCAAAATTTTTATTCTTCAAAGCAGATGCAAGATTTAGTTGATATTGATTTCGCGAGTTCGCATTGTTTGCAAGTTCCCAATTATCGATTATGGGTTCATTGACGTCGATGTTTCGATGTTTGACATATGTCAACATCGATGTTAAAACATCGAAGTTTTAATTTTTAACATCGATGATCATCTAACATCCCTATTTTAAGTGTGTTTCCCACTCAGCGTGTGTTATGCGACGATCGTAAATAAAGCGCAAGGTCAAACTTTACGCGTTGCAGGAGTGGATCTCAATACTGATTGTTTTGCACATGGCCAACTCTATGTTGCTTTTTCCCGCGTTAGTAGTCCCCGTAACCGTTTTCTGTACGCCCCGGCTAAGTCTACTTCTATCGTCGTTTACACAGAAGCACTATCATAAACGACTTAGAACTTTGAGCATATCGATTTATTTTGTTACCACTTATTCATACAGTAATGATATAAATTGTTTAATATTCTCTTACCCTAAACGTCAAATTCTTTAAGTAAAACCTATATTCGCGAGCTACGCCGCGGGCACAGCTAGTAAAGAATAAAAGCAAATGTTCAAATGATTGGAGGTGTTGGCTAGGGACATCATAGACGGCAGTTAATAGACCAAATTGGCAATAAATTGAAGATGGGCAGGATTTATTGTAAAGATGTAAAAGAAGCGAGAGAAGTATGTCAAAATTATGACACATGTAAGAATATATCAATGTTTGTAAATATTTACTTTTGTGTTTTTAGAAAGAAATTATAAAAAAAAACACTAAATACAAAAATCAAAAAATAAAATATTAATATTTTTATCCAAATATAAATTGCTTGGAAATTATAAGTAAACTAGAAACATTATTTCTAGTTTATTTAAGAAGCAGTTTTTCTTTAATATAGATAAAAATATATAAATAAAATTGAAACACAAAATTGTAAAATACATAAAATATCAAAATTTTTTAGAAACATCGTTGAGAATATAAGACAAACATAATCTTATTTTGATTCTAGCCAAAAGAGGTTTAGTTAAACGTAGTGATTATATTCTCTTTGGGTTTAGTGACTTACCTTTCCTGATGTTCTGCAATTGAAAATCGATTTCCTCTTGAAAATTTAGTCATTCCTTCTTCACCGGCTTTCGCTTTTTCAGTTGACAAAGTTCTCACTACGTCAATGACTTCCCATCGCGATAGTTTTTTAATCTGTAAATTTGGGTTAAAAAATAAGTGATAAGGAAGTGAGTGAGTGTCGCAAGACGCGACTGAAAAGAAAGAAATTGAAACAGAAAGGGGGCAACAACATCTTCCCGATAACAGTTCAAAAGAGTGAGCAGTTTAATATGTGGTAGAGCCATGCTGCAGCTATATTAGTAGTATAGTTGTAGCACGAATGGGTCGGCTCGACCGGGGAAGGACGACGCTCTCACAGAATACCAGCGTAAAATGGCACCTTGACACTGCTATGTTTCGTCACGTGAGTGTAGAGAACCGGAGACCCATTTTACTGGAAAAGAGGTATTCCATCATAGGCCTCACGGGTGACGACGCATCTGCATTTTGATTTATTATTGAGGATAAATTTAGATGTCTATGGGTCACAGCAACCACTGACCATCAGGTGGACTGTGTGCTCGTTTGTCACCCTATCCTATAAAAAAAAGCAACTGCGTTTACCAACTCGTTTATCAAGCGTGGCTACTATGGCAAGTAACCCGCCTATAAGGCAATCTTCAACAGTGGACTTTCATATATTTTTTGGGTTGTTATCAGGAAGATGCTGCAGCCCATCTATTTCACCTGCCTCTGTGGCCTCTAACGACACTCATATATGGTAGGTAATGGATATTTTTAAGTAGCCGATAAAATGGATATATTCAAATATTAGATTTACCTCTTCCTCAGGCACACCGAATTTTCTTAACAGAGCCTTGGCATTATTCAAACTAAGCCTCCTCAAGTCGGCATCTGTTCCTGTCACAGTTCTCTTGGGCTGTTGTTCTTCATTAGGCTGCTGCGTTGGCTTATTTGGCATACGGACATATGAAAAACCCTCTCCACAGCCAGTGGGATCCGCTGGGCCTGTGAGTTGGAGCAAACATTTGCCACGCATTGCCTGTATGTAAGCGCGTGTTGTGTTCCAAGGTGCAACTTTTACCTGAAATTTATTTATTATAAACATAATTATAATAATTCACAATTGTAAGGTTTGTGTAATTATTCGGAATGTAATACTGAGGCCTATTGTGTAATTTTGTTAAGCCTTGTTTCTGCCTGAGTTCTAGTTCAAACTGAATTCAAATTTTAAATTGATCCAAATTTTTTACTGATGCAATACACACAGTTTTAGGCTACGTTTCCACGTTTTATCATTGTGAAAATATAAATTTAAAAAGGGATAATGGCTTCTGTTACGTCAACATCATATGACTATCATATTATAGTGAATAATTCAACTTGTAAAAACTTTAACTAGCACTCCTTTGTAGTTGGAAACCAACAAGAGTCTCTCAAACACACATGCAAGAATATACAAAGTAATCCTCATGTTATATGAAAAAAATTGAGATAGGCTTGGATTGTTGTATCAAGTATTTGGGGCCAATTACATTACACTAAATTCCGTAAACTTATAGCTGCTTTTTGTTGTACAAATGTTGGCTCCATCTGATGATAAACTCTCAAGCCCTGACGCAGTAGCTACTCTGAAGGTAAATTTAGTCTACTGAAGCATGCCTTCGATTTACATTTATTAAATGTATAACATATAAAATTTGACAAACCTCATCATCCATTTTCAACTGCATTTCCTCATCATCGTCCTCCATGGGGGTGAAGATGAACTTTTCTCCGTAACCTGCATCCTTTAACCTCTGCTCAGCAGCAGCCATACTGAAGTACGCGCAACATTGTTCAGGCGAAACCATCGCTCGGATTTCTTCTTCGGATGGCAATCGAAAGTCGGGTTTTATTACCCACCTGAAAATTAATAATAATAAGTTTATGCGCCTTGTGGTGATGACGTAAAAGAATCCATTAGCCCATTTCGTCACGTATATATCGTAAAAGGTGACTATAACACACGAATTGTAGTGTAAACGTACGATATAAACGCATTTTCGATACGAGTACTACACGTTTGAAGTTTGCGCACACGCAAAGTTGGAGTGACGTTTGGTTTTGTTATATTGCATAAATGTATATGTCGTGATTTTTATATTATTATCTTATTGTAGGTTTTAAAATACTATTATAATGAATAAACAGTACAGTTGAGGAGAAACTCCAACCGGCAAACAATACAATCGTACTGCGACAGGCAAAGAACAGCAACGTCAAAGGTGTGAGACGTCTAGAATGCGATAGACAATCAACACAACATGTCGATTATGGCTAAGCCTCCCTCTAAAAGAAGAGTTTAATTTAATAGGAGTTGTGTATTTCTAATATTGGACTGTTACGGACTGGTGAAGAAAAAAATATTAAGCTTTGTAAGTTTTGATCTTATTATTCCATCTTGAGCATTTGAAGTATACAGATTGTTCAATTCTAATATTTAGAAAATTGCTCAAACAACAATAAAATGAACAGAGTATTTCATTAGTTTATATTTGCTTTAGTTTTAATTCCACATAATAATAATAATAATTTATTGCAGATGTAAATCCATAATTACCTCGTTTTGCCTTCCCGAAATCCTTCCATTAACACTTAAACTTTATGGTATGGTATTAAAGTTCAAATTGACTTTTAAGTATTATTACGAATCTTTTGTATGATTATATAAAAAAGTGTTGTTTTTAGACTTTTTCAGGCAATTTTTTAAATTTTTCACTCCGTAAGAACCATCTTCGTACTTCAAGGAATATTATAAAAAAAGAATTAGCGAAATCGGTTCAGCTGCTCTCGAGATTTGCGCTTAGCATCACATTCAGCAATTAATTTTTAGATTATAGATAAATTGTTTAAAAAGGGTCAGTATAATATAGAGAAATACATAAATGAAAATAACCCCTAGGAATGAGGTGATCGGAACCATGCTGGTGTGTGCAGTGTTTAAAAAAATCCCGCTAGATTTTTTGCTGGTTTTTCTCAGGACTTTCAATAAGTATTATATAATAATCTATATTGAATAGAAAACATTCTATTCTATTCATCGGTAATCCATATAACGTTAATGACGTATCGGAATAGTTGCCCTCTGAGAAATTACATCGGCATTACCAGAGTGCCAATACGTGCGGTCCATCCGCTGCGGATCAGTGAACCCACTTGTTTGACTTACATACATATTAATTCTAAAATGCGTTTGATACGTTTTGTTCGATGCGTACGATACGAACCCGGGTATGCCTACCTTGAAGCGGTACTTTATAAATATTATATAGAAATGCCATTACGCTACCAATATTTGTTAATTTCTCACATATACAAAACTGTTATGTTGCGTACAACGCATTTTATTACTTTTTTTAAATACATACCAGTTAGAGTCCAAGCCCGTTCGTTTGAAATCCGCGCACAGCTTTAGACGCTTTCGTATAGAGCTCTCAGAGTGTGAGGGGAAAGCTCTTTTAATATCATCCATTTTGATACGTCGTGGATTGTCACGAGATTTCCAGAACAATCGGTAAATATAAACCTAAGGAAGAACATATATCTTAATAATATAAATTAATTCAATGTTAAATCATCCACATAGGAGTAACAATAAAAAATTATACCTGCAGAAAATCCCGAACGAAATTGTTAGCTCTTTTAGAGTTAGGGCCAGGGACTTCGTACAGAGGACATTCCTGACCAGCAACAAATAAGGCGTCAATCTCTCGAATGTAGTAGCCTTGTCTGAAAATAATTAAACCAATGTAGTAATAATAAATATTCACGATAATTACCAATATTATTACAGCCCTTTCAAGTCCCATAACAAGTCCACTACTGAACGTGGGACTCCCCCAAAGATTGTCCATAAAGCACGGGCCTGAGACAAAATCTTTCTGCATTTCTTACCAGGCTGTCAATATATCAATTGGGAGGTCCACCTGACTCTACACTTATCAGCAGGAGGTTGACATATTTGGTGACTAAATGTTAGTTCGAATTTTAGTATTTAAAAAAAATTACAGAAAGGATTTTAATGAAAACTTAATCAGGTATTTATCACGCAATTAAACACCGATTAAAATGGTTTGTGACGATATTATCATACAGGGGAAAAAATAATAATATTCACCAAGATAAATTGATTTCACAAAGTATAAATTCGATATAGGTTGTATGGTACATTTGTCCTTTGTCTTTCAAAGGCTAAAAAATATGAAAGCGCCTTTAGATTTTTAACAGCAATAAAACTTGAATATCATTTTATTAACAAACTACGCGTAGTAGGCTATTGATATGAAATAGGGAACCAGTTGATGCAATTCTGAAGCTAATAAAAAACCTGATCTTGATACGCCATTTTTCTCAGGAGCTATCGTGACAATATACAAAATCAACATCCGGATTTCCACGTAAAAATTTTCAAATCGTTTTTTTTTTTCAAAGTTGCAATATTAAATGATTTTTTTAGAAAATATAAAATGGATTGTTTCGAGTGTTTTCTTGATATATGGCTACTCATATTGTTGTATAAGTGCAATATGGTTATGATAGAAGCATTTAAGAACACAAAATTGCTTAAACTTGACGCGTTGAGAGTAATACACTACCAAATAACTCTTCGCGTTATGAGGCATGCGATAGAAAATTAGTATGTTTAAGTTAAACGGTCCAAGCTGTAAATTCCTTATAAATGGACAAGGACATATTTCACTGTATGTTGTTCTAATAAACACAAACCTACCTGGTTCTAATAACAAGGAAATCGGTCTGTGGTAATGTGTGTTCGTAAATTGGGGCACGGTACATATTATTCTCGACAACTGGCTGGGTTGCTCCAGGTGCTAATATGCCCAAAAATGGTGATGTATGTGCATAGGCTACTTCACCGTATTTAAATGATTTTGGTCCATTGTCCTGAAAAAACAAATCTTTATTATTTCCATATTATTTTTTATTAGTGTTTTTGTTAATAAGAATTGAAATTATTAACAGGGATAATTAGAAGTGTCTACATCATTTCAAACAACTTATTCTATTCGTAGTATCAATACTCACCTTAGTAGCAGTTCGTTTGTAATAATTCTTGATCTTGGAGCACATTCCAACCTGGCTGATGAGAGGTGGATGTTCCTCGCAGAATTCAACTAAGACTAACTCTCCATCCTTGCCACTCAGATCCTCTGGAGTACGCATAAAGAATACGTCACCACCACCAGAAGCCAAGCGTTCTGCTTCGCGTTGCTAAGAAAAAGAATGTTATATTTGAATAAAAAATTTACTAGTAATAAGGCAATAAATTCTAGTCCTCAGGGGTGACAAGGCATCTACATTTTGATTTTTAACCGAGGATAAATAAAGGTGTCTATGAGCCACAGCCACGGCATCCACTTACCATCTGGTGGATTGCGTGATTGTTTGTTGTTCTATAAAATAAAAAAAACTATAAGAAAGGAAGCTCTGACAACCGATTAATTCAAAAAAATGCTGAACCAAACCAAAGGAAGAAACAACATCTACGTGCAATAAATATTGTCGAATCTTTGACAAATTAGTTCACATTTTTTAAATAGACCTATTTCTAAAACCGTGTTTTAGAGGTTGATGTTGATGATAAAAATAATTTTACTACAAGTCTTGATAATATGTATTTTTTATAAGTGGCGAATGAGTGACAACCGATGGCTAGTGGCCCATAGTCAATACCGATAATATGAATGCACGGTAACCAGTTCATAACATGGAGACCTTCGATGCTGTCTTAGTCCAAACAGAAAGTAAGACTGCTAATATTTCAGAGTCGTAATCGCCTATGCAACCGCTATTTAAAAGATCTACCGATGACATATGTTAATGGACCTAATCTGTAATTACACATTGATACAACATATTTAGACTGAACCAACCCACGAGTGCACAGAATAAAGGTTTTCAGGCTTGTCTAACCTTTCATTCAGAGCAGAATCTTAAGTTGGTTTTAAAGCAATAAAAACAAACGAGCGTGTGTTACCAACCCAAATTAATTCATAGATTTAAACAGCTTTCAAATACATATTATGTAGTTTAGTAAGGGCATAGAGCTTAGGGTATGTAGTTTATTTTTATTTTGAGAATGAATCGTAAATTCTTTTAAGATTTGGTACGGTATATCGTATACGGTATATCGTATACGAATCGAACAAAACCCAAGTATTTCTCTACCGACTTCAAACAGGAGGAGGTACTCAATTCGACTGTATGTTTTATTTTATGTGTGTTACCTCATAACTTTTATCTGGGTGAACCGATTTCGATGATTCTTTTTTTATTTGAAAGCTGGTGCTTCACATGCGGTCCCGAGTGTAGTTGATCAAGATCTGACCAATAGTTTTTGAGTTATTCTTAATAATTTGTATTGAAGTAGGTTATACAAAGATTTAATTTTAAATTATTTAATAATTGTTTTCATTATGAAGGCAAAATATATTTTGGTTGTTTGATATTTGTCATTTATTTAATCTACTTAAGCAACCGTTATAAATTTTAAAGAAGTAAATTCTAAGAAACAACCTATTAACCTTAGCTTTTTTCTTAATATGTTTCAACAGGGGTTGTACTGGATGGGGACCGTTCGAAGCCAAAGGTCCATAGGAAAGTTTCCTCATAGCGGGTCGATGGAAGGCGCGTAGTCTCGCTGGTCCCATGTGGGTTTGTATGAAGGGAGCTCGTAATTCCACCACCGGAGTGCTGTGTTGAATGAGTTGACCTCCGCCCACTTTGAGACGTGGGTTTTGGGATTTCGGTTGGTAGTACCTGAAAAAAAAACGCTGCATGTATTTTTTTGTTAAATTGACAAGCGAACTAATAGTCCACCAGATGGTAATTGGCTACTGCGCCCTATAGCCACATACAACCAATTTCAAATAAAGGTTACAAATGCGTTGTAAGCGTTAGGTGGAATAATAATAATAAAATAATATAAAAATACTACGACAAGTGCGAGTTACAGAGCAACGTAGATGCCGCCGTAGATCTCCTTGTGGTTGACTCAGGCGACGATGTAATAGTTGCACAGGAACAAGATCAAATGAGGAGCGTATTGGAAGAGGCGATTAGGGAAACGCGCAGTACGCCTCTCGAAAATCGACCGCAACTTCCCCGTATACCTCTAAGCAAGCGGAATCGGGCTGTCGTGAGGGCTCTCAACCCAATGCTGGTGATCTATTTGGAAGCCAGCCGGGACCTTTGTGACACGGACTCTTATTCTTTCTGGCGCCGCACTGGCAGTTTGCAGTATTATTCGCGCCAAACTTCCCACCGCTGGACGCGCTACTAGACACAGTAGCGGCATCCCAACCTGGAGAAGAAGGATTGAGGACCGTGTCCCAAAGGCAAGGGCCCTCATCGGCAGACTGATAAGCTTCAGGTCGGGCAATAATAGGCCGAGAATTGGGCGCACCGTCAGGATGGCCGGATATAACGCAAAAACTGACGGAGCGCGTAGACGACCTGAAGCAGAGAATCGCTGCTTGGGGGAAGCGGATTCGGAGATATACCGAGAGGTCGACACGGTTCAACCAGAATCGTCTCTTCCAGAGTGATCAGAAGAGGCTCTATGAATCATTGGAACGACCAATAGTACGTGGAACGGGCCCAGCACCGAATCAGGCCGACACTATCTCATTCTGGCGCGGCCTGTGGTCAGAGCCCGTAAATCACAGCGAGGGCCCTTGGACGGAAGTTGTGGCGAGTCAGTGTGCGAATGTTACGCCCATGAACCCCGTCATCATAACGCCGGATGACGTAGCTGAGGCGGTCCGTAGGGCCCCGAACTGGAAAAGTCCGGGACTCGACGGACTGCATCACTACTGGCTGAAGGGGTTCGTGGTGTGTCACGCTGTGCTCGCCCGACAGTTTCAAGAGGCTCTTGACCTCGCTCCCAAGCCTCTTCACTACTGGGATCACTCATTTGGTTCCTAAAGACCGGGATTCCACAGACCCGAGCAAATACCGCTCCATAACGTGTCTACTTACTATATACAAAACACTAACATCCATTTTGAGCGCGAGAATCACTCGTCACCTGAACTCAAATCAGGTGATGTCGCGGGCTCAGAATGGATGTCGGGGCGGTGGTCGTGGAACCAAGGAATCACTCCTCATTGATGCAGTTATGGCAAGGTGGTTAAACGCAACTGTCGGAACCTCTCCGCCACTTGGATAGACTATAAAAAGGCATTCGACTCAGTGCCTCATACATGGCTTAAGAGGGTCCTCGAGCTGTATAAGGTTAATTGTACAGTTCGAGACTTCCTCGGGCAGTGTATGGGGCAATGGAGTACGATCCTTTGTCATCTAGGCGAGCGGATGACGGCTGCGGAGAACTACATAAGGATAAGAAGGAGTATCTTCCAGGGCGATTGTTTGAGTCCAATCTGGTTCTGCCTCTCTCTGAACCCTCTCAGTACCTTACAGGAGGGCTCCGGGAGGGGATTTCAGCTTCGGAAAGGAGGTACAAAAGTAACCCACATTTTCCATATGGATGATCTCAAGTTATTCGCCTCCAGTCGCTCTCATCTTATGGAATTGCTAAACATCACTTGTGATTTTAGCAATTCTATTAGAATGGAGCTGGGGACGGATAAGTGTGCGGTCCTCCATGTTGAAAGGGGAAGGGTTGCTAACTCTGAGGGCATAGACTTATCTATGCCCATCAACATAAGGACCCTTTCCGAGGCTGAAACATACCGATACCTGGGTACGTCACAGAACATCGGTGTAGATGAGGCGGGTATGAAACAGTCAGTTTGCGATGTATTTTATGCACGCTTGACCAAAGTGCTTAACAGCCTTTTGTCCGGTGTGAATAAGACGCATGCATATAACGGTTGGATCATAACTGTTCTCATGTATACCTTTGGCATGCTCAGGTGGACTCAGACCGAACTAAACGCTCTGGACAGTAAAGTCCGCACTATAATGACGTCCCACAGGATGCATCATCCGAGATCGTCAGTAATGAGGCTGTACTTGCCGCGGAAGCATGGTGGGCGCGGCTTTTTAAGCGCGCTTACCATGCATAATCGCGAAGTGTGCAGCCTCCGTAATTACTTTCTGACGAAAGCGGATGATCCATACTATAGGGACGTTATTTCTTGTGATAAAGGGCTTACCCCTCTATCCTTTGCCAACGAGCAATGGCAAGACCCGGCAGTACAGAGCGTTTCCGACCGGGAGACCGTATGGAAGGAGAAGGAGCTCCACGGGAGATTCTACAAGGCTCTACATGAGCCTTTCGTAGACACAGTCGCCTCCCTCCACTGGCTACGTTTCGGTGACCTCTTTGGGGAAACCGAGGGTTTTGTCTGTGCGATACAAGATCAGGTTATTAAGACCAACAATTATCGGAGATACATCCTAAAGGGTGGCACCGTTGACGTCTGTCGAACTTGTCGCCATCCCGGTGAGTCACTTGGGCATGTCATCTCCGGTTGATCGGCGCTTTCTAACTCTTGAGTATTTGCACATGCACAACTTAGTAGCCAGGATTCTACACCAGGAGCTCGCTCTGAAATACAGTCTCGTGGATCGGAAACTGCCATATTATAAGTACTTGCCGGAAGCCTTGCTCGAAAATGACCGCGCCAGGCTCTACTGGGACCGGGCCATCATCACAGACAGGACTATTCTTGCGAATAAGCCTGATATTGTGCTGATGGACCGGGCACAGTCAAGGATATTTTCGTCGACATTAACATTCCTTATGACGAGAACCTCGTGAAAGCCGAAACAGATAAGCTGACAAAATATCTGGACCTGGCTCACGAGGTGAGCGACATGTGGGGTGGATTGCCGGCCTAAATTATACCTGTAGTCGTCTCTGGGAATTGGTTAATTCCAGTCAGCCTCTCGGGTCATCTGAGGCGACTGGGACTCCGTGACGGACCGCTCCAAGCTCAAATGCAGAAGGCGGTGCTCCTCGATACCGCCCGCATCGTCCGCCGGTTTCTTTCCCTTTCCCCCTAACCCTCGGCCGTTTGGTCTCCTCTGCCGAGGGCTCCCATCTGGTTGGGTTTTTATATATTTATGTATTTTTTATGTATTTATTTTATTTTATTGATATTTATGTACGTTTACCATGTTTATTTACAATTATATATTTATATTGCCCAACCAGATGAGAAAACTTTATAGATACCCCATAATAATAATAAATTCTTTATTTGCCCTTTCTTCCTAAACATCGGCCGTTTGGTCTCCCCTGCCGAGGGCTTCCATTTGGTTGGATTTTTATTTATTTATGTACTTTTATGTATTTATTTTATTTTATTGATATTTATGTATATTTATCATTCTCATTTACATTTATATATTTAAACAGGACAACCAGATGAGAAAACTATATAGATACCCCACATAAATGCTTTATTTCACCAATAACTTTTTTACAAATAAATGTGAAGTCCCTAACTCCTAATGTAGGTGAACCTGTAGCTCGGGAGCCAGTGTCTTCCCACAAAATAAATGTACAAACTAAGTAGATGTTTGCAAAAATAAAAATTATATATAATAAAACTAAAATTCTACTGCATAGATGTGAAAGCTCGCTATACCTCATATCCTGCAATTATACTGGCTCTCTATTACTCTTCAGACTGGAACACAACAATACAAGTACTACCTACAACGACGCGCTCCTTGGCAAAGTTCTACCGCCTAATAAAATTTATACATACAAAAATAGAATAGAATAGAATAATTTTTTATTCAATATTGATTACAAGTAATTCTTATTGAAAATCATTACTTTACCACTGGTTCGAAAAAAATCCTCTGGCCTGGGAAGAACCAGCAAGAAACCCAGCGGGACCTTTTATAAAAAATAAATTTTACAATATAAATGATTACAAACTATTTACAAAATTTATTTTAGAAACAGCTTGGAAACGATCACCTCATTCCCAGGGGTTATTATCAACCATGTATTCATTTATACTGTAATAACCCTTTTTTATACAGTATAACTTAACAAAATATTTAAACTTGGTAATAGAGAGAGCCTGTACACTTACCGGGACCTTGTTGTAATAGCGTATACATTGCCCCAAGAATGAATTACTGACTCTGTGGAGTCGAGAGACTGGTACCACTAGCTTGTGTTTGTTACTAATGGTTACAGAGTGCATATCACTTTTTTTTACTAAAACTATCTTTGTTTTTGTGAAAATAATATATTAAAAATAAATATTTAAAAAATGATGTGTGTTACAAATTAAAAAACTTTAATGCCGATGCTCTCTGTGCTGATTCGTACCTATCCGATCAACATTCGCTCGTAAGAGTAAGGACAATATGATCCAAATTATTACTTATAACATAAGATACAAAATCAGACAGAGGCACGCTGCAGCATATCAGTAGTCTAGTTGAAGCACGAATGGGTTGGCTCGATCGAAGTAGGACCACGCGCTCACTGAATACCAGCGTAAAACAGCAGCTTAACACTGCTGTGTTTCGTATGGTGAGTGTAGAGAACCGAAGACCCTTTTTACTGGAAACGAGGCATTCCATCTTAGTCTTCACAGGTGAAAACGCATCTGCATTTTGATTTGTAGTTGAGGATTCGCAAACGAGGATAAATGTAGATGTCTATGGGCCACAGAAACTACTTACCATGAGGTTGACTGAGTGCTCGTTTCCTCATCTTATTAAAAAAAAATTGAGAGAACACTTCTTATTTTGAAGTATTGAATATGCATTTATTTGTTTAATCATTTTAGCCGACTTCAAAAATAGGACGTTTACAATTCGACTGTAAACCTCCTATTTTTGAAGTCGGCAATTAGTAAGCTCATTAGTAAGCTTAAGTGGCGATGGGGATATCCGCAGTAGAACCAGAGTGGCCGACATAGACCAACCGATTAGTAAGCAATGGGCCGGCCATATAGCTCGAAGAACCGACAACCGATGGGGAAAAAGGTTCTCGAGTGGCGGCCTCGTACCGGTAGGAGAAGTGTAGGGCGATCCCCACTAGATGGAGTGACGACCTGGTAAGACATGCAGGAAGTCGATGGATACAGGTGGCTCAGCTCTGTGTTTTGTGGCATTCCTTGGGGGAGGCCTATGTTCAGCAGTGAACTTGTGAAGGGCTGTAATGATGATGAAATGATGACAATTCGACTGTTTTTTTTTGTATGTATGTTACGCGATATCTTCATCAACTTTGAACCGATTTAGATGATTATTTTTCTATCAAATAGGTATTTACTTCAGGCGTTATCCCATTTAAATTTGAAGATAATTCTACACATAAGGTTGGCAAAATACGAAATGAAGTTTTAGTAAGTTAGAGGTAATTATTAAGACTACATTCTAGTTGTTACGTTAATCTTGTAATATGCCTTCTTGCACTTTTCCAGAAATTAAACTTTTAATAAAAAGTAATAGTTGACTTTAAAGAACTAAATAAAATCCACATAACAGCTTCTGAAGTCGGGATGAAGCCCTACTACGTTATGTTGTAGCTCTAACTTCAGAAGCTGTTATGTAGAAATAATTTTAATTTTTCTTAGTTTTCTGAAGACAACTTTTACTTTTCATTAAAAAAAATTTTTAACATACACCTTAAACAAAGGTTATATACGTATAAACGTAAGGGAGAACTCAATATCTTACGGCATTTTTTGCCACTGGACATGAACATTATAATATACAAAGCACTGAAAACTGTGTGTATGTATTACACTGTCTGGCTAGAAATCATTACAGTACAATCAGTTTCAGTTAGAGAAACGGGCTAAGCGGTCGTCGTAAATACAGTACGCGAGCAATCAGAGTTCGACCCCCGCCGACACCAAAGAAATTGATAATTGCGGCGGCTGCTCGGCGGTAAACGAACATATCATGAAGAATTCTGCATTTCTGAGGAGTTAAAAAATTATTTCGAAGAAATGTGATGTCCACCAATACACATTGGAGCGACACGAACACTTCTTTGCCCCATAAGCCCCTGTACGACAAAGCCTTGTAAAATACTTACACATCGTTAGATATATTGAATGGATCTCGATCTGGAGATTTCGGTGGTGGCGGGGGCGCATCTTCTTGCAATACATTAATTACACCCGCCTTGCCCAATAATATTTTAGACTTCTTAACGTGCGGGTGAGGTATTTTTACTTTTGGCGCCGGTCCTCGTTCTGAAAAAAATATAGTATTGTGGAAGAGTTTTACAAACAAAATACGAAATAATTATCTGCAGGTCATATAAATATTTGTTCCGTTCTGGCAATGAACAATGACCTGCATGGCCACAAACAAACGCGTTGCATAAGCACTACGCAACTAAGCCTTCTCCAAGTAACCAAGTTGTACTTCATTGTCATCACCGACATCAGCTTAGCCAGCAGATCCAGATACTAACTTTCAACACTTCTTGTGTCTGATCAAGGTCATCTCCCTAGCCCATGATATTTTAATTATAGAACTTATTACATTTAAGACAAAATAAAATATATCTCGCCAAATTTCATTTTTGCAGTTTAGTGAAATAACTGTATAATTACAATTTTCATGGGTCCGTTTTTGCAATTCCATCAACAAGCGCATTAAACCCGTGTGATTAGCTTAACTTTAGCAGAGTGTCTAACAATATAACCTCTTATTCGACTATCAAATATTTCTATAATACATAATTTTCTCTCCCATTGGCATTGCCATGGGCCTTAATATTAAATACTTTTTATTAAAATCCACATACTCTCCTGTATCGTGGCGGTAGTTTACGAACATTTTTTTATAGGATAGGGGTGACAAGCCCATAAACCTCTACATCTATCCTCGTTTGCGAATCAAAATGCAGATGCGTTGTCAGCCGTGAGGACTAAGATGGAATGCCTCTTTTCCAGTAAAAAAGGTCATCGGTTCTCTACACTCACCACACGAAACACAGCAGCATTGGACTGCTATTTTACGCGTGTACTCTCTGAGAGCATGGTCTTTCCACGGTCGAGCCGACCCATTCGTGCTACAACTATACAATAAATATAGCTGCAGCATGGCTCTACCACGTTTAGACTTTTCTAAGAACCAATAAAAACTTGAAAGTTTACAAATCTAAATTTATACTTGTAATATCAAAACTATTATTACTAAGCTGTTCATTCATTCATATCAGTATATAAAAGTCCATGGCAAAACATAGGCCTTTTCCATAAATTGTCTCATAGGGAGAATTTTGCCATAGTTGCTACACTTGGCAGGCGGGTTGGCAACCGCAGTTTTTTATTATGGTGTAATTAATATTCATACACCGCCACTACATTGTTTGCAATTACTGTTTTACATTAGGAATGAATAAAAATTACCTCGTGTAATTTTAGACGGATCTACGTCATCGGGGATGCCCAAAACAATATTTTCGTCATTTGGATCCAGTGTTAATATTTTCGGTTTCGGGATAGTTGGCATATTTTCCGCGTCCCATATAACCTCGTCTTCCCACGTACCATAGACTAATTCTTCGTTCTCTACGGGGAAAATACTGTACCACGTGTTGTCTTCTCCTTCGCCTGTAGACGCACCTGGCTGGTTGTTTGTTGATGACGGCGTAGAGCTGCAATATTATTTAAATTAAAAGTGTGGAATGAGAGCAGTCTACTCTGGCAGTTTTACGAAGGGCTAACACACATTGTACCGTTAAATTCTCAAGATCAGATCAGAATTTTGTTCAATTTAGGCTTATTACATGATAATGAAAACGTCAACATCTATATGTGAATGCACGTAAAGCCTTGGTCCTGATCTCTCCGGTATTGTAGGATTGTCGTCCCATAGGACTATGAGAGTAAGGGAATAGAGTTGCACCTGTGCTTGCGCACAAACTCGAGCACTTTAATCCTGTCCTGAGCAGATCAGAACAGATGCTAGTCTTGGTTGAGTTTGGCCGCCGTGACCGGTATTCGGTATGACGTTACAAGAAAAGTAATATATTTTTAATCCACTACCGTTTTAAAATAGCATTGTTGCTCTACCATTTACATGTACACTGACCATAGAATAAATGAATACAAAACTACGTTAAAATGATTTATATATAACAACTATTTTTAAGTTCAGTAAAACTATTTGTTTTGTAAAATCAATTGTACAAAACTTACGTTGGTGGTTTTGGCTGTAGTGGAGCGGGTGGTTGTGGACGCGGGTGCGAGAATTGTTGAGCAGTCCTGCTCACGGAAGTGGGCACCCAGCCTGCAGCATTACTCTTACTGTTCAAACGCGCTAGCACCTTTAAGATAATCAAACATTTATTAAAGTAATGTTCAATAAAAGTAAAAGTATGGAACACCTATAAATGTCACAGTCCTTCTCTCATTTCTGAGAGGGTTTTAGGTTCAGTAACATTTCAAAGTTATTTATCAATATTATCATACTAGCTGTGCCTAGTATGTGACGGAATAATCGTAATTGAATGAATGGTATAGAAAACAATAAATTCACAAAAAAAAAAACATATTTTTTTTAATAATAATCTCGGGTGCAACACAACAACTTACCAAAGTTTCATCGTAATCGGATAAATTGTACAGAAATCCAATCGGGACAGACACACACATTTTACATATTTAGCTAGATTGATTATGCTTGGGTGTTTAATAATAAACACTTGTTAAAAAGTTAAAACAAGTTGGTCAAGTAACACCATCTACCAAGTAAATTATAATAATAACTAGCAATATTTTTTTACGAAGTCATAACTCATAACTAAACATTTTTGGGGGTTTGGTGGGACCGTCGAAAGATTATTGGCCCTGTTTTATTGTTTAAATAAGAAAAGGGGAGATTTCCCGCCGGGCAATGCCTCCGGAATGTATTTTCGCTTGTGGCACGAAGACAGCGCCTTCACATCACTCCCTGCTTAGACCGGACTGCTTGACAATATCTGCTCGGGAGCAAATGAATGGGATACTTGAGGACGATGACGAAGGTTTGAAGTTTTAGATTCCGAAGGTTGTTGGTTATGTGTTCATATCACGTCGGGGTCACCACTGTGACCGGTGGAAGGAAAAGGGGAGATCTCCCGTCGGACAAGGTGTTCTGCCCGGGGAGCGGCCAACGCTCCGAGTGTTAGTTCGGAGCTCCTCTATATATTATACTGCTTTTTACTTCGGAACTTTTGAGAGCGCAATTTAGGTTTCGATGTGTTTTCGCTAGCAAGGCGACGACTGCGCCGCCACAGTTTGAAGTGGATTTTTTTTTATGTAAAAGTGGGCCAGAATGTTGAGTGGATTTGAAAAAATCATTAAAAAAGGATAAATATTATAAAAACAAATCTTTATTGTAATAAAAATAGGTACACGGGAAAGTTATTTTTTGAAAATGATGATCCTCAAGATGTGCACCATTGCGCCGCAAACACTCCTCCAATCTAGACCTTAGATTATCGAAAACTCGCTGGCACATTGCTCTTGCAATAGCCACCATTTCTTCTTCAATATTGGTCTTCAACTGGGCAATCGTGGTTGGATTATTGTGGTAAACTGTACTCTTCATGTAACTCCACAAAAAAGTCTGGTGGTATTAAATCCGGGCTTCTGGGCGGCCACGCAATATCACCTAGCCGCTATTTGATTTTTCCTCTAAACCTCTCGTTTACGACTGCTATCGAGGCATCAGATGTATGGCATGTCGCGCCATCTTGTTGACACCATGTCGTACGATTATATCCTTCGAATTCTTGCAGTTGTGGAAAGAAAAAATCTCGTAACATCGGTTGTGTATCGGTGCGAATTTACTGTTACAGATTGCTCCCGCTGAGTTTCAAAGAAATACGGACCTATGATCCCACGTGTAGAAATGGCTGCTCAAACCGTAACTTTTGGCGAATGCAGAGGCTTTTGATGTTTGGAACGTGGGTTTACTGCGGCCCAGTAACGGCAATTCTGTTTATTGACGTGACCATTTAAGTGAAAATGGGCTTCATCGGAAAAAAGAATATTGTTGAAACTCCTAAAACGATCTAACATTGTTTCGCAAAAAACACGGCGTAAATTGAGGTTATTTGGCTACATATCCTGCACTAATTGAATCTTATACTGAAACTTAAGATATTGCGTTAAAATGCGTCACAAAGTTGTTCTGGATACAGTAAGCTCAGCTTGCGCCTGCGAGTTGATAGATCAGGATTACGTTGCACGGAAGCTCTAAATTCGTTAATTGATTCTTCTGTTCTTGTTGAACTTGGGCGTCTCGAAGGTTTCTGATTGAGAGTTGATCCAGTAGACTCGAACTTTCTGACCAAGACCTAATCAAAAAGTAAAAGTCACTTGGACACTGATTTAGGTCGTGTGATCCGTACTCAGAACGGTATAAACGTCGAATAACAAAAAATATTAGAAAAATAGCGATTCGTGCATCGTTATTTTTGTAATAATTTTTACGCAGAACGCAAGCTGTGCATCAGTGAAGCGTTCCATGGCAACTAAATTTCCGCGAACCGAGCTACTTATTCCCACCTCCCGCGCCCCGCTACCGCAAACCGCTCCAACATAATAGTTATTCAAAAATCGTACGTCTTTATGGCCCAACCTGTATATCAAGAGCTGCGCATGTGCACTATTACTGGAAACGACGAAAGTGTTCTATTGTTGATATAAACCTCAAGTAAATTTTCTTAAGTACGTTAAGAACTTGAGATACCATCGTTATCGACTGTCTGCTGGTTTATGATGTAGTGGAAATCTCGCCAAAAACTCCGTAATCTAATGCATCGCGACTTGTTGTAAGTTTTTGAATAAATTATTATAAAAGATAATTTCCTATTACTTGACACTGACAAAGGTACAACCATAAGAGTCCATTGCCAAAGAAAAAAAAATAAACGTAGGAGTTCATTACTAAAGTAAAAAGTTAAAACTTAAATTAAAGAAAAGAGCTGCCTGATTGTAATTAATTAATTGTACTATTAACATATAATATGTCGGCGTTAATGTAGTTTCATAGCGTTTGGTTGCCGCAACGCGGGCTTCGAGTACAGAACAAATATTTGTATGGACTACAAATAGTTGGTCCTGATCTGTCTGTTTGTCCGTTTGCGATTTATGTGAAACTCCTCCACGACTCAGAAGAAATTCCTAATGCATATTATGTGTAGTTTTCTTAAATAAACAGAAAAATAATATGTAATCCAATCCAACTTAACCCGAGCTTCAAAATACTTTTTTAAACAAAATTTATGTAAAAATTTAGAGGAGTAACTTAAAAGAATTTCTATCTTACCTTATGCTTTATTTCACTGCCATCCCAGATAACATCGTCCTCCCATTGCAATTGTGAAACCATCAGAAATGCGTCATCAGGGAAACCACTGTCAGGGCTATCAGAATCTTGTTCTTTTTCTGTATTGTTTTCCTCAGATTCTTTAGGTTTGTCTTCGGTTTCAGAGGATGGACCCTGAAAGCATGAATTTGTACATTATAGGGCTCTTATATTTTCGTGTGTAACATTACATTGGTGTTCATAAAGACTTTACAGATCAAACATTTAAAATTCTGAAATCTCTATTATAAAAATCAATTGCCGTCTGTTATTCTCGCTAAAACTCAAAAACCACTCGACCGATTTTGATGAAATGTTTTGTGTGTATGAATGGGTCCCTACATGGTTTAGATTCACATTTGGACCCAGGTGGTTGGTTGGTAGTTTCATCGCCAGTTACAATTCGGGCCATAACTTCCTCCCTTTGTTCTCCACAGCACTATGTACAGTACTCTGTAGCCTTTGTTTGAGAATAAAAATAAATGAGTTATAGCAACCAAATAATTTGCATCTTCAAAAGGGATAGAAAATATCGTACCTTACACTTAAATCCGTAATCAAAGCCCTCGCCGGTTTCCGGAACATTGAGCATATCATACCACATTTGAGCCGGACCAAATCGCCAATGCGCCGGTGTTGGTCTCTGAGATTTATCTCCAGAGTTTTGTGAATTATTTTCGGCATTCGATTGTTGGTTCTCTTCCATTGGTCTAAAAATTGAGTGATTCAATATGTTTTCTTTTTACTACGATATGTAATAAATTTATGAAAACACAATACAAATATATATTCAAATACATACAAATATAAAAAACAGACACTCATTTGCAAAGGGCAGTTTTGATTTTTGTTTTCTGGTAAAAAAGGTTCCAATCTTCAATCAAGTTAATATCGACTCCAAATAACTTTTAGTCCATTTTTATTGAATTATCTAATTTCCTTGACATTTTACAGTATTGTTATTGCTGTTTAGCGATCTCGAAAATGGTAGATGAAGTAATAAAAGCCAGTAAAATTAATAAACTTCTTGAGTAGGGTTGCATCCAATGCTTCGTGGCTGAGATGCTAAATGTGAGTCGTTCAACAGTTCAAAGGACCTGGCAGCGCTATTCAGAGACCGATTCGATCACGGATTGATCGTTTTCTGGTGAGACAAGAGTTGCGAAATCGCAAATCTTCGTGTGTGGACCTCAAGAACAACCTCTAAGAAGTACGAAATGTACAAATTAGTTTATGAACAGTCAAGAAGAGGCTTCTCGCTGCCAATATACACCACAATCATCGATCAGCCAGCGACCCTAAATTACTCCGTGAGCACGAGTTGCTTCGATCGAAATTGTTTCTTGGACTCAAGAGACTGGTACTGGTATTGTTCTCTGATGAAGCAAGAATATCTCTGTACGGTGAAGACTGACGTCAGTCAACGACTGCTACGATGACGAAGAGGTCGCTTTGCAGAGACACGTTTTGAAGAAATCACACCTTATGGTAGGGGATTTGTTATATGATTTATTATTTGATAAGGGCAGGCATAAATTTGTTGGATCGTACGGAGTTCATCATCGAAAACGGCACACTGACTAGAGGGCGATATATAACGGAAGTTCTAATTATTTATGCACAATCCGCATGGGGCGCTCTTGGCGAAAACTCAATTTTTAAAACGCTCGCGCCCACCTGTCCGGCGACGTGGAAGCATATATGCTAGAGATCGGATTTCTCGTTTGGATTGGGCAGCTCGAAGTCCCGACCTAAAACCCATAAAGCATGACTAGGACGTTCCAAAGCGACGAGATCAGTGCGCCGGCTCCGTAGACCATCAGAAAACCAAATAATGTGATTATCGCGGAGTAGAAACGTATTTCACAAGTAACCATAAGATGTATACTCGCTAGCATACTAAGCTAGTTTTCAGCAAAAGGTCACAATCCATACTAAGCTTTTATCTGATTTTATTTTATTATAGAAAAAAACAAACAAAAACGTGTTTCATATTTACTTAGCAAGCAGATACACTATTAGACTACACGCTTTGAACTTTAGCATTTTTTAATAGGATAAGGGTAACAAGAGAGCACACAGTCCACCTGATGGTAAGTGGTTGTTGTGGCCTATAGACATCTACATCTATCCTCGTTTTCGAATCAAATTGTAGATGCGTTGTCAGCCGTGAAGACTTAGATGGAATCCCTCGTTTCCAGTAAAAAGGGTCCAGTTCTCTACACTCACCATACGAAACACAACAGCATTAAGCTGCTATTTTACACTGGTATTCTGTGAGAGCGTGGTCCTTCCTCAGTCGTGCCGACCCATTACATTACAGCTATACAATTAATATAGCTGCAGCATGGCTCTACCATTTATAATATTTACATTATTTTTCAATAATTCCATAAAATTGGTTCTTTGCTTAGGTGCCCGTTTTTTTTTTTTTTTTGCAAGAGTTTATTTTTTACCTGTCAATATACTAGTATTACTATTAAACTACACGAAGCAACAGTAGCCTAATGATTTCAGACCACAAACTCAGAAAGTGATGGGTTCAAATTCAACATTCGACTACTGTGGTGAACTACTCTTACCGATCCTTTCAACCTTACCTAGTGGTTATGGGAGTATTATTAAATTTTAATAGCGTTACTAGTAATCTAATTTAATAATAAACTACATGATATTTTCCCTAACCTCGGTACTCTCCCAACAACTGCGGATCTTCAGTTATCAATGGTAAAATTATCTATCTATTAATAAATAAAGATATTTTATAAACACTAACGTGCACACTAACGAAAGAGCAATATAAACTGTAATGCAATGAAGTTAGAGGTAGCATGATGCAGTGTTGGAAATAGAATCAATCACAATGTATAAGATTTGACTTGTCAAATCATAAGCAAATTTTATATAAAACATCCAAAAAAAATATATTAGACATATTCACATATTTAAATTCAATATTTATATTACTTGGGTGATTGTAATAATTTTTATTTACATATTAGGTGGATATATGTAACTTTACGTACATATTTATTGATAAACGGTTTATTAATTCCTATACATACTTCAGGAATTTTTCTTCATCATCACTGGCATATTGAGGTTCTTGATTCTCTGGCATTTGTGGAGGTGTGTCACTACCAGTGCTACCACTGCGTTTTCTTCTCCTACGTTTCTTGACTCCACGCCATATTTGAGGAAGACTCGATAATTTTCCTGGTCCAAACAATCGCGAAAACAATAGAACCTAGAGCAGAATAACATACCTATTACATATTAAATTACACTGAAAAAGAAATAATGTTTGTTACTAACAATCTTAAGATTTTTACATATACATAATTAGATTTAGTTTGTGTAATATAAGTTTTATTATTTATTTATTATACTTTTGTGTTGGTTTTTAATTATCTTGAAATGTTTCTTATGTTAGTTAATTATATATTCCATATGAGAAAATAAAATTGTTAAAAAGATTATTTCTTTGTTGTTTCTTTACGACACCCATCAAAGTCGCTCTATCCGGCTACTTACAGCTGCTACAACTGTATATTGGTATACTCTTTATTTATGATAAAAGCCATGTTTAACGAGCGGATTGGCGATCGCAGAAACAGACGTCCGCACCATTGGCGCTGCTCTCCGTCGCCAGTCTGGATATTTTACGTCTGACATAACGAAAGTCTTACAACCGTCTGCCGAAAGCTGTTATTTGTATCTTTCTGGCATACTTATATGGCTATCACGGCCTCTTACGACACCCACGGGAAGAAATGTAGTGGTATTATGCCGATGTGGACCTACTTACGCCGCCACAACACGGCAAGTTATCCTTTTTTTTATAGGATAGGGTGAACGAGCGAGCCACAGTCCACCTGATGGTAAGTGGTTGCTGTGACTCATAAACACCTACACTTATCCTCAATAAAGAATCAAAATGCAGATGCGTTGTCAACCGTGAGGACTAAGAGGGAATCCCTCCTTTTCAGTAAAAAGGGTCTCCGGTTCTCTACACTCACCATACGAAACACAGTAGCGTTAAACTGCTATTTTACGCTGGTATTCTGTGAGAGCGTGGTGCTTCCCCGGTCGAGCCGACCCATTCGTGCTACAACCACACTACTAACATAGCTGCAGCATGGCCCTACCACGTAAAATCTTTACTAATACAAGTAAATTTAAAAATCTTGATAAAAATTATTGTTAATTGAATATGAAGCCATTTTAAATACAAAAAAAAGCATTGCTATAGAAAAGTGTAAGGGCCTTTCTGCCTAGCTATATCTGTATTTCGTGAAACTTAAAAACAAGAAAACCCTTTGAGGAAGACTACATAAATCCAATTACTTACTTTATCAGGTCGAAAATCTGGAAAGAGCTCGGTGACATCAACATTAGCATACTTAGATGGAAGCATAGCAGCGAGAGGAGTTTCCAACTTTTTTGGTTTGTCCGTTTTCTGTTTTCTATAATGATACAATGAATAATTTTATAATTAATAATTTATTTATTGCCGATATATAGAAGTTAACAACTTATATAACAATAATCTATAATATAAAAATGAATCGCTGAATGTGTTGCTAAGCGCAAATCTCGAGAGCAGCTGAACCGATTTCGCTAATTTTTTTTTTTTATAATATTCCTTGAAGTACGAAGATGGTTCTTACGGAGTGAAAAATTTTAAAAATTGCCTGAAAAAGTCTAAAAACATACATACATATATATAACATATTGCCATACAAAAGATTCGTAATAATACTTTAAAGTTAATTTGAACTTTAACACCATACCATAAAGTTTAAGTGTTAGTGGAGGGGTTCCAGGAAGGCAAAACAATTGAGTGATATTAATGTCAATATTTGTCAATATTTATAAGATGGTAACATTACTCAAAAACAAAATTGGGGTTCCACGCAAAAAATTCCACGAGGGCGAAGTCGCGGGGCACAACTAGTATTAGATATATTTTTGTTTATACTAACGGAACGGTTGAAGGAGGTGGCATAAGTCCACCGTCGCCTTCCATATCTCCTTCATAGCCCTCATCATTATTCCGTTGTTCTGCTTCATTCTCTTCCTCTTTAGTAGTATAATCACTCTCCTTCCAATCTTCGTTATTCTCATTATTAGGTTCACTCTGTGGACAATCACTTATACTGTCTTCTTTGTTTTGTGGCTCTTCATTTGTTTCACCCGTTTTGGTATCGTCTAATTGTCTATCCAATTGTGTATCCCCTTGTGTGTCTTCATTAGTGCTACCAACTACTTCCTATTAGTGACAATACAATTTGTTAGTATACAAAATGTGCTTCAATGGTATATACACAGGTGCAAAGCATAAGAATTTTAATTCAAGATAGTTTGAAAAAGAAATTAGTACAAAAGTGATATTACAGAAGTATATAAGCATTATTTATAGGATAAGAGTGATAAGTGAGCGTGCAGTCCACTTAAGGGTAAGTGGATGCTGTGGATCACAGACTGCTACAACTAAAAACTCGATAAAGTATCAAAATGTAGATGTGTTGTCACCCCTAAGGACTAAAATGCAGTACCTTATTTCTAGTAAAAATGGTCTATTTTTATAGGATAAAGGTGACAAACGAGTACACAGTCCAACTGATGGTAAGTGGTTGCTTTGGCCAATAGGCATCCACATCTATGCTCGATTACAAATCAAAATGCAGATGCGTTGTCACCCATGAGGAATGCCTCGTTTCCAGTAACAAGCAACAAGCATTGAGCTGCTATTTTATGCTGATATTCTGTGAGAGCGATGTCCTTCCCCAGTCGAGCTGACCCATGAGTTCTAGAACTATAGAAGTAATATAGCTGCAGCATGGCTCTACCACATGCGAATCTGATCTGGTCCTCTACACTGACCATACAAAACACAGCAGAATTAAGCTGCTATTTTATGAGAGTGTAGTCCTTGTCCGGTCAAGCCAAACCCATTTGTGCTACAACCATCCTACATATCACTACAGTGGTATACTATGTAGAATTGTAGAAATATCAAAATGATATAATGTAATGATTCAAATAATATGATTTCTAATTTAGTTTCCAATGAATAGTTATTACATACATTTTCCTAAAATAGTAGGCCATTTATAGAATGTACGGATAGTAATTATTTTTATAATATAAAAGATTATTTTTTATTTGCAAGAAAAAAAAATATCGTCATAAGAACATGAGCTGTTTCATTAAATACTGTAAAGAACAAAAATTTGTCATATTATTGAACTTGATACTACTTCTGTCGCTGGTCTGGGCATTTAACGTCTGTCATTAACAAAATGGCCATCTATCGGTTTTTCTTGTAATTATTTACACAAAACAATTACAAATGTAATGAACATGGTTTCAAACAATAATAATGAAGATAAAAAATCAACATAACATATAAAATTATTTAAAACCAAGAGTTAAATTAGAAAAGTAACTTTATTAGTTAAAACTCAGTGAAGTGAATGCTACACACAATTAGTTTTCTGTGCCTACTAAACTATGCCAAATTTCTATCTTCAGAAAAACCTCCGTGCCAGAAAGGAAGACACTAAGGTTTAGCACAGAACATTAAAAAAAAAAGAAATTAGAGTGAAATAATTACATCACACTTCAAGTCTTCAGCAACATCATCTATGTCAAAAAAGTCAACAGCAGAAGGGCTTTTGTCTCTATAATCTGTAAAGAATATTTGCATTAATGTAGTTATTTTTTAAATACACTATTCAATAATAATATTGATAAAAATATAGATAAATATACTTGTACGTTTTTTATTATAATGTCACATGGGAGAATTTTAGAATTTCCAAAAAAATACTGAAATGTTTATTATTTTTTTAATAAAAATAAAAATAACAAAAAAATAAATTTTATTGAAATTTTTTAATTTATGTCGGACTTTAATTTACCATCATTAAATATTATGGCGACATAGCCCCCAACGGATCAGTAAGCTGAAGTGGTTATGAGCCAGCCATATAGCTCAAAGAACAGACAACTGATAGGGATGAAATCTCAAGTGGCAGCCTGATATCGGTAAACTATTAAAAGATACAGGAAATCAATGGAAGCAGGTGGCACAGGACTATGCTGGTATTTTTCGGAGGAGGCCTATGTTTAGCAGGGGACTTATGATGGACTGTAATTATGATGATGACATATTGTTATGCTATATACACTGTGTCTTTGTTGCTCAAAAAATAAACTCGCAAAAATTAGCATCCTACTATACTATACCATTTCTAACCAGGTTTTATTCCTGCTAGTACCAAATAAATAATAAATTGTAATATACTGCTGATTTATATATAGGTGAAGAAAATGTTATTAGGAAAACTGCATGTTTGAGAAATTAAAAATACAGTAGAAACTCGATTATCCAGCCCTCAGTTATACGGATTCACAATTATCCGGACTATCAACCACAAACAATTAAATAATTAAGTCATATTGAGCCAAGTTACAAAATGTTTAACATACATATGTACTACATGTCGAATTTGTGCAAGCATGAATGTGTCGGTACTGGCATTACCCCGACCGCGCCCTGTGGGATCGCTGCCCCACGCGTTTCCTTATTGTTTTAGTTAGCTAGCAATTGTTACTCTGCTCTGACGTGTGTGTCTAGTCTACATATTTGAAAATGTCAAAGCGTAAAAGAGTGGTGTTATCGCTTAAAGACAAAATACATATTATTGATTCACTAAAAAAAGGAAAATCCAATCATGAGTTAGCTGATAAGTATGGTGTAGGTACATCCACGACAAGTGACGATTCAATTTTGTTATACACCTGCAAATTAGAAAGTGAAGAAGGGAGTAAACATCGGAAAATGATGAAGAAACCAAAAAACGAACATTTAGAAGAAGCTTATTGCTGTATTGTTGATTTTTACAAAAACGATCAACTGGGCAACTGATATCTGGCCCTTTGCTCTGTGAAAAAGCATTACAGTTAAATAAAAATTAGGTGGCGATGACTCGTTTGTCACAAGTAGCGGATGGTTATACTGATTAAAACTCGTCATGGAATTCGTGAATTGGAAATACAAGGTGAAAAAATGTCAGCTAATGTAGATGCAGCAAACTCTTTTGCAGATAATTATAAAAAGAAATTGGATGAAAATAACTATGACTCTGATTTTGTTTATAATGCTGATGAAACCGGAAGTCATTACCTTCAAAATCTTTAGCTTCTAGGCGAGAGAATTCAGCTCCAGTATATAAAACTAGCAAAGAACGAGTAACAATATTAGTTTGCGCTAATGCTACTGGGACCCATAAAATACCTTTGCGCCTCATCGGAAAATCAAAATAACCTAGATGTTTTATAAATATCAGGGTGCCCTTAAATTATAAAAATCAAAAAAGTGCATGGATGAACTCTGAAATATTCATTGACAAGTATAACAACACTTTTATCCCTGAAGTAAAGAAAAGACGTAACGAAAGTTATCCCTGAAAGTTATCCTTTTATCCCTGAAGTAACGAAATTGGCAAACAAGGAAATGTATTACTTTTACTGGATAACGCGCCAACCCATCCTTCGGCTGAGCTGTTAGAAAGAGAAAATGGAAAGTTTAAAATAAAATTTTTGCCTCGTAATGTAACATTCTTGCTGTAACCAATGGATCAAAGTATTATTGAGACTTTAACCTAATAGAAAACAACTTTTACATAGGTTGTTATCTGTTGATGAAGATAATGTAGAAGTCATTTTATCATTTTTTAAGGAAATGAAATTAAAGGAGTGTTGTTACATGGTTGTAGATGCATGGGATTTGATTGAAAAGAAAACTTTGAACAAGGCTTGGAACAGAGTAATTAATTGGAAGAATGTAAATTCAATAACCAATACAGATGATTCTATTTTGGAGGATATAAATGAGCTAATGTTAAAGATACAAATATGCCAGGATTGTGATAATGATATGAAAGAGTGGGTCACTTGTGACAGTAACGATCAAGGCTTTCAGATTATGTCGGATGACAAAATTGTAGAAAACATATTGCAGAGAAGAGAACAGCAGGAAATGCAAGAAGATGAAACAGAAGAAAATATAGACATGGAAAATAATGCAGGACCATCTCATGATAAAGCAGTTCAGGCCCTGGAAACAGCTCTCAAGTGGTTTGAAAAACAAACAAAGAGTGATACTGTGACTTTACTACAGCTCAAACAAATTTGTGATATAGCAGCAATGAAAAGAAAATGTGGCTTACGTCAAATGACAATTACCAAATATTTTAAACCAAATTAAACTTATTATTTTATTTTATGATTACCAAATGCAAATTACCAAATACACACTGTAAATTATATATTTTATAATATTTTATTTCATGATTGAGGCTGCAGTATTTTAGTATGTATGTCTGCAGGGGCGTAGCTACCGCCGTATCAGCCGTATCAATGATACGGGGCCCCGGGCTACAGACGCCCCGAACGTATGTAAGCAACAATTCTAAGTACTTCTATGGGACAGGATGTTGGTTTGAATTGTTTGGCTAGCTTAGTTCCTAGGAGTATTCATTGTAAGTAATAATGTATAATCAATATATAATTATTTAAATTCAATGTGAGAGTTTTTGTTCCTTTTGTGTAAAATCTTTACCCTTCATTCGGGCCCCCCGACAAATTTTGATACAGGGCCCCTCTATGGCACGCTACTCCACTGTATGTGTGTAATCTAAGAAAATATGTATATACATAAATAAGTGTGTATATTGTATAAACATTGTTTCCTTGATATGTATTTATTGTTTTTAATAAATACATAACATTATGTATGTATGTACTACATATGCACAAAACCCGCTTTTCTTCATACATTCAATTATCTGGATTTTTGATTACCCGAATCCCTATCGCCAAAAATTAGTCCGGTTAATCGAGTTTCCAATGTATATCGAATACATGTGAAGTTCACCAATACGTAGAAAGACAATGTTATAGTCGCTTTCTTGTTTCAAATCCCTTTCAGTAATGAGAATGTCTCTGCCCAGCTGTGGGATATATTATGTACATATCACCTTTTCCGTTTTTGCACATTATTCGAAAGAAATTATTGCACCCTAAATTAATAAGAAGCTGGTGATTTTCAACAATAATAATCATTCATCATCATTAGTCTATTAAAAGTGCACAACTAAAGCCAGGCCTTCACTATAGATTGCCTAATGGTAGGTGGCTATTGCAGTCCATGACACCTACAACTAACACAAAGAAGTCATTGTCATCTGTCAGTTTTACTTACAGCCTGTAATTATACTAACAAACGGAAAACAGCAGTACATGCATTGCTACCTACCTAGACGGGCATTTAAATGGAAAGCGATTCTATAAATTCACTAGTTTATTACATAAAAATGTAGTGGTTGCAATAAATCCAAATATTGTATTTTAAGTTTTTAATTTCTGTTTGTCTTAAGATTCAACATATTCACACCTTTTTCTTCGTCTTCATCATTTGGTTCATCCTGTTCAAGCACTTCAGATAACATAGACCCAAGACCTAGCCGATTAAGAGAGGACAGCATGCGCTTCGACTCTCCGTCAAGGAGACCATCATCTTCAAGTTGACCGCTTTCATCAATGTTTCCAAACAAGAAACCGGTCAAATCCATGCCAGAACGTCCATGGTCAGTTTGATCATCGCTGTCACACATTATAATTTAGGGATCATACCCTTATTTTTATTAAAAAGCAATATACCTCTTACGAGTTTAAATTCAAATATTCACACTGTAAACTATTAATGACACTATTTGTGTAATATCATTATCTATCAATACATTCAAGCAAAAACCAAGATACAAATTTATGTGTATCGGCTAATAATACTACTACAATTTACAAATTGACAAATGATAAATAATTTAATGATTGTTGTTGTTGTTTTTACTATTAGCTCGAGAGAGCAGGCAAATAAATGAAGCCATACAGCCTTGTCTTTTTTATTTTGAATATATAGAATTTTAAAGTGTAAAGGCCGGAACTAAGTCTTATTTTTCCTTCTTTCCATCTCTTCAAAATCCATAAAGGCCGAAGCGAAGTCTTATTTTCTTTAATTCTTCATATTTTCAAAAACCGTAAAGGCTAAAGCCAAGTCTTCTTTATATTATAATCTTTGTAAGTTTCAATCCATGTAGATTTGTCAATCCAATATTTTCAAAAACAGGGATACCATATTTCATATTTCTTTTACAGTATTATGAGTAAAATTGCAAAGTGCAAAATATGTCTTAGTATTCCTAAGAACATCTTGCAGGGCAAGCGGGACGCTTTCTGAGTTTTTATAAACTTGTATAAGTTTTTCAATGAGTAGCAATCTTTCTATGTCGTACGCTGGGCAGTTAAATATTATATGTATTGCGTGGTAGAGCCATGCTGCAGCTATATTAGTAGTATAGTTGTAGCACGAATGGGTCGACTCGACTGGGGAAGGACTACGCTCTCACAGAATACCAGCGTAAAATAGCAGCTTAACACTGCTGTGTTTCGTATGGTGAGTGTAGAGAACCGGAGACCCGTTTTACCGGGAAACAGGCATTCCATCTTAGTCCTCACGGGTGACAACGCATCTGCATTTTGATTCGCAAATGAGGATAAATATAGATGTCTATGGGCCACAGCCACCACTTACCATCAGGTGGACTGTGTGCTCGTTTGTCACCCTCTACTATAAAAAAAATGTTCTGCGGTCCGATCTGTTTCTGTATCGCAGAAGTTGCATGTTGCCATTTATTATATACATGTGGATGTTCTTCTATATATTTAAGAGCGATTAAGACAGCATAACATTCTGCAGTGTATATGCTTGCTGATGCAGGAATGGAAAGGCAACGTCCAGTTTTCAGATGAGGTATGTAAAATGCACAGGCTACTTTATTTTCAACTTTTGAACCATCTGTGTAAATTTGTCGATTTTCATCATATGTAGATATAAGTTCATAAACCTCTTCTTTTCTTTTCAATTTTTCATCAATATTTATATTATATATTTATGTGTATATCACTGAATTTACTTTCATAATTCCCCTTATAACAAGGGCAAGTAAGTGTGCCTTTGTGAATATTATATTGTTCATCATATCGTATCACGTCATGAAAGTCATGCATTATATATGGGGCTGAGTTAGATATAGGAGACATACTATTATAGTAAAGTAATACTTTTTGAAAAAGAGGATCATGAGACAAAGAATTAATATTTAATAAAAATCTTAATTTCAGATATTAAAACTTCATTCGGGATCCTCATTTTTATAGATTTCTATCGCGAATTTAATGTATTTGTAAATAGGCAGAAAATATTTCATATTCTTCAAAATACGCCTAGGATGGCTAACGCATCGTTGTCCGTCACTAGTGACGCTATAGTTTCATGGTTTTAACTGATGCGGTATCATGCAAGCTTGACGGCGAACTTGAACGTGAGTGGTCTAGATGGATGCACTGCAAACTGGACGTCGCTTCAAGCGCGCTGCAAACTTGACGGTAAACTTGATCGTGTATGGTATCCATAACAATACAACATTATATCATAAGATATTCAAAAATAACACCCCTTCATTGCATTTTTTTCAGACCATACACTTTTTAATATCTACCTCCTTTTACGCGGCAAAACAAAAATCGGTTAAAACAATTGAAAATATTCAATTCAATTCAAAAACGCTTGAAATCGTTACATTACGTCCTTGTCTATCTATGTTGTTTAAAGATTAAAACGCTGTTTTAATCTTTGAATGCACAACATAGATTAAAGACAAGGCGTATTTAATTGCTAAATGGGCACATGGAGTGGGCTGACACACGGGCATGGATAAGCTATCTGCCCCTGCATCTCTAGTATATATACGGTATCCGCAGGGGCGGGTGTCATGACACGTGAGGGGATAATATAGAACAGCCTCAAAAATTAGGTAAATATTTACCCGTCTATACGGTCATGTAATGAACTGTGAGGTAATTTCTAAATGAAGACTAAGTACTTTGTATTTAGAGAATCAAGCAGCAAAGCCAACACAACCCTAATCAGATACTTTAGATGCATCGGTGTACATAATCAAGTAGTTAGGCCACAAGTTTCAGACGCATGTTGTTTAAATTTATTATCCGGTACACTGTTTTTTATGAATACCTAAATCTACAATAATATTATAGTTCAGCCGTTCAGAGAATGCGTTCCTGACACCTATCAGTTAGTCACGACTAGTGATGGGCACAACATAACACTGAGTTCGTTACCGTTCCTCCAAAATGAACCGCCGCGTTATTTTTAAGATTATTTTCGTTTTAAATTGGCGGAATCATTTAAAATTTATATTTTAGTAATTTAAGTGGAAAGCAAAAAAAGGTAATATTAATATAATAAAATTGTTTTATTTATTCTTTGTTACAAAGTTACAATCTGTATTTCTATGCAATAAAGTACATTGAATTGAATGTGCGTACAGAATATTAATCAGACTCCGATTCGCTTGAGGAGGTGGTGTCTTCATAATCATCTTCGCCTACATGTATAATTATATTATTATCAATAACAGAATCAATCCTGATATCTCGGTCAAAATGTTCCACAATCAGGTTTTTAGTCTTCTCAATAGCCTTTGCCCAGTCATCTCTTGTGACTTCCCCGCAGGCTTCTTTTAATAGGGTCATCATCTTTTTCGTGCTGAATGGCGGGGAAGTATTGTGGCGGGCGGCGTAACCTTTTATTTGAGCCCAGATTAGCTCAATCGCGTTATATTGGCAATGATACGTGGAATTCTTCGAACGCGATGACCGTACTCCGGAGCCAGTTCATCGATTTCCGCTTTATTTTCTTTAACTAATTTAATTAGCTCTGGTTTAGGATCTGCATATTTGCGTCAATGCCTTTTGCTTGTAACCAAGCCACTATTTCTTCTTTTTTATTAGCTTGGGTAGGTGGTTTCTGTATTTGAACCGAGTGATAGGAGGCATTATCCATGAATATTACAGAAGGCTCTGGTGGGCTGGGCAAAAGCACGTTCTGGAACCACTCTTTAAATGTAGTGGCATTCATTTCCTCGTGGTAGTCATTTGTGGTTTTTGATTGAAATGCCAGTAACGCGTTCTCCACAAAGCCGTATTTTGCAGAACCTGCATGGCATATTATCAGACGGGCCCCCTTACCCATTGGTACTTTCGACGTCGACGCTTGTGTATCATCAGTCCAAGAACGGGAAACCGTGTGATTGGCGTTTAGCCATGTCTCGTCAATGAACACGACATTATCCCAGTTATCAATATTTTTTGCTTCTCTCAAAAAACTTACCCGTTTTAAAATTATGTCGTATCGTTCTAATAAAATTTTTCTTTTGTCTGTTTTTTTATACAAAAAACCAATATCTTTTAAGATTTTGGTTAAAGCAGTTTTACCCCCGCTAAACAGTCCAGCTTCTCTTAACGATGCCAAAAGCTTCTTCCTGTTGAGATATTCATTTCCGGAATAGTAACCATATATATGATTTCTGATTGCATCGGCGTCAAAGGTGTCAATATCTGTCACGGGTTTAGTTCTACGTTTCTTCTTCGGAGTACGTAAAATATTATTTGTTATCGAATATGAACTTTTCTTTATTAATATTTGTTATCGTTCGTTTACTAACTCCAAGCGCCTGAGAGACGCGTTCTTGTACTTGTTCGACAGGTAACAGGGGTCCGACATTTTGCCGCTCCCGCTCAAAGTAATCTTTCAGCTTGATGATTAACTCACGGGCTCCACTTTTCAATGTTTGTCCACGTTTAGGCATTATAATGCACCAAAAGTAAAAAGAACGCAATACAAAACACAATCGAAATCCGATTTAGCGCCGATGTCAGTTTGAAAAGCAGAAACAGTCTATTAAACGAAGATTTCAATTAAAATGTATAAAATCCCAGGTGAATTTACCGATAAACTTAAAAAACTCTCCAATAATTAGATCGGAAAGTTGTATTTTCGATCTTTGGGGAAAAATATTTACTGCTGTGGGCAGTTTTCCCGGAATTTCTTATTTAACATAAATTGTTAATATAAATAGGTAGATACTTAGCTAAGTATATACTTATTTATATTTTATATATTTTCTAAAATGTTTTGATGGGAAAATAAAAACGGTGACACGGAGTACATAACGGCTGCTTTATTTTTCATATAAGTATTACTTGTGATAATTATAAACATTTAATAATTAATAACTAAATACATTATAGAACTTTATTTTAACATTCAACTTATGTATAAAATGTAAACTTAATAATTCAAGGAAGGAAACTTGTAGGAATCAGTTAAATAAAATTGCTCTGCTTAAAAGCCAATATGTTTATGAGGCTTCATCATGCTTCTTGTTTATATTCTTTCATCTGGCCCTGAAAAATATAAAGTAATAATAAACTTATTATCATTTTAGCTGCATGAATTTTAAAAACTGATCTTAACACAGTAAAGTGGACCAAGTGTCTGAGGATACAGATGCACTCTCTATTCTCTTAATCTCGGTATGTTAAGAAAATGGTCACTCATTCATGAACTGACCGCGGCAAGTGCAACTTAATCTCACAGATCTATTGATCTGCGCAGCTATTACTTAACCACGAGTTCCTCTTCTCTACGATGAACGCTGTAGGCGATGAACCAAGCTATTTAAGCCCTCGGTACAATGTAGTCGGCTATCAAGCATGAATTGGGGATCGACCGTTGTGAGTATCAAATACTATGGAGTTTATACTATGATACTATCATTACTAAAAATCTATACCTAACTACGCTAAAAGTTTTATCATTGTGACTTGGGAATGTTACGAGCTTGGGGTTCGAGACAATTAAAAACTGCCGAGTGGATTACCAAAATTGACACTTTAATTACAGAACACTAATTACAACTTAAAATCACACTAATAATAAAACACAATTGTAATACTGATCATTTTAGTTCGTAGTTGTATCGCTAAGAAGTATAGGCTTGTATCGCCAATTTAATACTGACTCGTTCGTGGTCTATACCGGCCTTTTATAGGGCCTCAGATAGTTTCGAAAACCTTCTACTGTAGAAACATCTAGAATGTTCGAGTACATATCGGTCCCGAAATTTCTAGAAGGATCTTGATTCCCCTAGTTCTGCTACTCGATACTAGAGGGCGCTAGTGGTAACTAGTGTTGCCATATAAAAGACATTAATAGTGGCGCGCTACAGGAATATAATCCGAAGTTCCGAAGCACCGCTCAACCCTTTGGGGAAAATAGCGTGATGCTATGAATATTGTACTAGTATGACCGTGAGGCTGTGCGGTTGGTTAAGTAAGGTTATAAATTTATTTTGGGTGATAAATAGATACTTAGTTGGGTTCATAATGGCTTAAAGAGGATAATCTAAAGATTTTTTTTTGTCTTTAATGTACTACAGTTTTATAATGTATGAAAATCTGTCTCTATATTTATCTAGGGTTGGATTTAGAATCGTTTGGCAGGAATTGGGGGAGTAAGGTATTTTATTTGATAGAGGTTTGGTTCCCGATTATAATAATACTACTCTCATTAAAAGGTAATGCACCGTTATCGCATAAATAAATAAAAACAATTATAACCTAAACACGTAAAACATGACAAAACGTATACAATATTACTGTGAAAGCTGGATAGTACACAGAATTTTGTGTAAGTGCGACAAGGACGTAAGACTAGTGTCACATTATTCTACTGTCTATACTCTCTGTCAAGTGTCAAATTAGAAATGATTATAATGTTATACTGTTTTATTTCAGAATTCTTTAAAACTGCCCAGAAATACTTGAACACCTAGATATACTTTCAGTTGTAATATGTTAGAAGTATGTGGCGGGAGCGAAGGCAACCTGGCTTTATAGATAAGATGATCTGATCGAAACTGTACTAAAATTGAATTAGCATGCCGCGACTCCACGTAGTCTTGTCTGCCCTACTCCTAGAGTGTTTTTGTAAAACCATAGGCGCGGAACGCAAGGTTACGCTACACAAGGGCGAAGGGGCTGTACTCCCTGCTGCGCCGAAGCCGTTGTAGTAACTTTGTGTCAATATTCCTGTGTAAAAAAGTTATGATATAAAAAAACCATTACTCATAAACTATACTTTTCCGCAAGGAGGAAAGGGTAGAGGGGTTTTCCCTGATAGGCCACACTCCTGCTCCCTATGACATAACCCCAAAATGATAAATGTTATCATTTTGAGGTTAGGTCTATGGGATTTTCTTTTTGATTTTTCTCAAGAACAGTGTACTACCTTTTAATGGGAGTGGTGTCGGGGGTAAGAGGACGCTACCCGCTCCCCTCCCCCCTGCCCCCTCCTGCCAAACGATTCTAAATTTCAAACTTTATCTATATTCATCTAAAGTTTTGAAAGTTAAATTTTGAAGACTTATTATAACAATATTTTACTTACTGCTACAAATAATGTAGAAATGACTTCTTTTAATAAAATTGTTTTTATTCTACCTTTTCTTTTATACTTCTCAAGAAAAAGTTTGCTGCAAATTGTTGAGTTCTTCTTTGCATAACAAGCAACCCGTTCAATGAATCTAAACCATTCTTTCTAATTATAGAATCCGGTGGGAATCTGTTTGATAAACGGCAAAATAAAATTACATTTTAGAACGCAAGCCGAGGATTTATTTTCTTGTTGTGTAGTCAAATCTATCGATTCATTATAAATATTCAATATAAATATCGACATTAATTTTGATATAGTTGAGTCAATCCCTAGCGTACATGTAAAATATTTTGTATAAAAATGTATTTACCAAATTCATGCAAATTATCAACAACGTGACTTTTTCTTTGCAAAATATCCAAATTAACAAAATAACTGAAAACATTCTATATTTTAAACAGTATATAACATAAATTTTAACCAATAAACGCGCCATAATATTGACGACGTGTTGAGAATTTACCTGTGAAATGTGCAATTATCAGGATTATTTCTATTATTAACACCACAATCACTCACTGAACAAGTAAGCATTTCGGAAAAAAGTTATTTACTAAAAATAACCACTATTACACTTATAGAAATAGTAGCACTATTATACTGCACTACACTCGTCTACGGGGTACCTTCATACAATGTTATTAAATGTCCAAATAAACATGACTTATTTTCAGATTTCAAGAACTACAAGAAATTCGAAGAAATGGTATTTATGTATATATAGTTATTATAGGTAGGTACAGACTACGAAACATTTTGATCAACATCAACCGTGTTAAGTACAATAATATTAGAAAATAAAACTATTGGTAAATTCAATTGTGCATGCCCTAAGCGCATTAAAAATAACGTATTTAACATAATTTTACGTAATTTTTTTAAAGTGGCTTAATACACACAAATTTTTACTAATAATTATTATTATACTTCCAATTTTCCAATAATTTTATGTCAAACTTCAATTAAAAAAAGTTTTGAAATTCCAAAAGTGCATGACTATGATTGATATGATATGAGCATAATGTCATATGATCATCATATCATCATTCAGGTCACTCCACAAAGTCCAAGACGTATTTAAGTATAAATATACTTAAAAATATACGTCCTACTTACTTTTAATACGTAGTACTATTATTTATTCTGTGCTTTTAAAATATTGTAATAAAAATCTATATAGTTATTATATTATTATTTTTGTTTTACAGAAGAGGGCCATTAGAGCTATTTACAATCTAAAACCGAGAGAGTCTCTTAGAGATAAATTCAAAGAAATTAATATATTAATTTTGGCCTCTCAGTATATTTACGAAAATTTAATGTATGTTCACAAAAACAAAGATAGTTTTAGTAAAAGAAGTGATATACATTCTGTAAACACTAGGAACAAACACAAGCTAGTGATACCAGTTTCTCGACTCCACAGAGTCAGTAATTCATTCTTGGGGCAATGTATACGCTATTACAACAAGGTCCCGGAAAGTGTACAGGTTCTCTCTATTACCAAGTTTAAATGTTTTATTAAGCTGAAACTGTATAAAAAGGGTTATTATAGTATAAATGAATACATGGTTGATAATAACCCCTGGGAATGAGGTGATCGCTTCCAAGCAGTTTCTAAAATAAATTTTGTAAATAGTTCGTAATCATTTAAATTGTAAAATTTATTTAAAAAAAAAGTCCCGCTGGGTTTCTTGCTGGTTCTTCCCAGGACAGAGGGTTTTTTCGAACCAGTGGTAAAGTAAAAAGTGACTTTCAATAAGAATTACACATGTAATGTATATTGAATAAAAAAATATTCTATTCTATTCTATTCTATTCTATAGGTAGGTACAGACTACGAAACATTTTGATCAACATCAACTGTGTTAAGTACAATAATATTAGAAAATAAAACTATTTGTAAATCCAATTGTGCATGCCCTAAGCGCATTAAAAATAACGTATTTAACATATTTTTATGTAATTTTTTAAAGTAGTTTAATACACACAAATTTTTACTAATAATTATTATTATACTTCCAATTTTCCAATAATTTTTTTTATAGGATAAGGGTGACAAGAGAGCATACAGTCCACCTGATGGTAAGTGGATGCTGTGGCCCATAGACATCTACACCTATCTTCAATTACCAATGAAAATGCAGATGCGTTGTCACCCGTGAGGACTAAAATGGAATGCATCGTTTCCAGTAAAAAAGGTCTCCGGTTCTCTACACTTACCATACGAAACACAGCAGCATGAAGCTGCTATTTGACGCTGGTATCCTGTGAGAGCGTAGTCCTTCCCCGGTCGAGCCGACCCATTCGTGCTACAACTATACTACTAATATAGCTGCAGCATGGCTCTACCACGTAAAATTAATAAAAACAAAAGTTATAAAATACATTAAATTGCTTCTTAGTTACGTCTAAGAAATGCATCGTCATCGTTGAAGTGTTAAAAGTTATCTGTAAGATAAAATATTAAAAGAGAAAAGGTAAATCGTATCTTTATGAACTCTTCACTCTTTCTTTGGAGTATTCTATGTTTCAGAAAAAGCACAATAATTTCAATGGTTATGTTCTTGTTTTTTATCTACGATGATGCCATTTTTGGTGAACAGTTTAGCGTGACACCATTTCCGGTTACATTTCCACCTGCACTTGCCGTCCCTACACTGGCCGCCCATCCAGAATATGTGTTTACCTACGTAAATAACCGGCCTACCGCGAACACTTCTGCCGAAAACCGGCGCTTGTGCATCCCCAACAGCGCCACCTTCCCCGTCGCCAGATATATTGCCATCTCCAGTAGCCGAGCCATCAAATCCTGTCATTTCCATATGAGAGTCGTCTTCGCCAAAGTTTGTTTCATTATTATGTGCGCCTTCATCATCGTCATTCCACAAGCTTTCGTTAACAAATTTTGGTTCCATTTTCGGTGCCACGGCATTGTTTTCATCTTCGTCCGGTATCGTAACAAATTCTTCTTTAGCTGATCCTGAGGGTCCGGCTTCTAAGGGTTCTACACATTTTCGTTTCGCAGGTCCACTTTGAGATGATGAGGAATTATTTGATGCTACTGATGGCCTATTTGGTCTTTTAATTGCTACTGGAGTTGAGGAGGGCTTAGAATCTAAATCAGTCTCTAACTTAGTCATAACGGATTACCTTTGTCGTGACGACCTCGGGCCTGGCCTAGAGGTCGGCTTTGGTTTGGATGGTTGATGGATTTGACGTTTTTAATTTCGCCCTCCATGGTGGTACTACTCCGGAGGCGTGGAGCAGAAGTGCGGTGGTCTTGTTCTTCAAGAAAGGCGACTCTCTTAAAGAACTACAGACCGATTTCCCTTCTGAGTCGCGTCTACGTGCTGTTATCGAGAGTCATTACGGATCGTCTCGCACGCAGACTTAATGACTTCCAGCCTCCCGAACAAGCCGGTTTCCGAAAGGGCTTTAGTACCATAGACCACATACATACCCTTCGGCAAATTGTACAGAACACATAGGAATATAATCTGCCACTTTGCCTTGCATATGTGGACTATGAGAAAGCCTTTGATTCCGTCGAAATTTGGGCGGTGCTGCAGTCCCTTCAGCGGTGCCAAGTTGACTGTCGGTATATCGAAGTGCCGAAGTGTTTGTACAGTAGAGCTACGATGGCTATCTGAGTACAGAATCAGAGTACGAAACCTATCCAACTGCAGAGAGGCGTAAGACATGGTGACGTTATATCCCCGAAACTCTTCACCGCTGCATTGGAAGACGTTTTCAAGCTTCTGGACTGGAAAGGATGCGGTATTAACATCAATGGCGAGTACGTCACTCACCTTCGATTTACCGACGATATAGTCCTTATGGCAGAATCGCTGGAGGACCTAAGCACTATGCTCAATGACCTCAATAGTGTCTCCCAACGGATAGGTCTTAAGATGAATATGGACAAAAGAAAAATCATGTTTAACGGTCCATGTCACACCTGTTGTTGGGAGCACTTAGCTCGAAGTTGTTGTCGAGTATGTTTACCTAGGACAAATAGTCCGACTAGGTAAGTCCAACTTCGACCGAGAGGTCAATCGACTGATTCAACTCGGCTAGGCAGCGTTCGGGAAACTACGACACATCTTCTCGTTAGACATACCTCAAAACCTGAAAACAAAATTGTACAACCAGTGCGTGTTGCCAGTGATGATTTAAGGATCTGAGACGTGGTCCTTCACTGCTGGCCGTATGAGGAAACTCAAGGTCGCTCAGCGAGCTATGGACAGGGCTATACTCGGGGTTTCTCTGCGTGATAAACTTAGAAATGAGGATATCCGCAATAGAACCAGAGTAACCGACATAGCCCAACGGATTAGTAAGCTGAAGTGGCAGTGGGCTGGCCATATAGCTCGAAGAACCGACAACCGATGGGGAAGAAAGGTTCTCGAGCGGCAGCCTCGTACCGGTGGACGAAGTGTAGAGCATCCCCTCGATAGAGATAGAGTAGATGGATGCAGGTGGCTCAGGACCGTGCTTTGTGGCATTCCTTGGGGGAGGCCTATGTTCAGCAGTGGACTTATGAAAGGCTGTAATGATGATGAAACAAAAGAAAATTAAACTGCCATTTACTCTGTGCTCACAATGATCACAGAGTAAATGGCAGTTTAATTTTCTTTTGTTTAGTTATAATTAATTTTTTCGGCGTAGGAATGATAAAATTTTCGGTGTTTTAAGCAGCTTTGTAATAATTTATTTTACTAAATAGACTGCGGACTGCCTCACAGCCTCACTCACTCACTCACTTCGGCCTCAGCGACCGTCGTGAGTGGATACTGTATCGATTGTTTGCAGCGGCTCAAAAAGATACAAATACAAAATATTCGAAAAACTAAATTTCATACATATTTGATTTTTATAATAATCACAGATTTTTATAACAATATTTTAAAAGCACAGAATAAATAATTGTACTACGTACTAAAAGTAAGTAGGATGTATAGGTTTAAGTATACTTATACTTAAATCCGTCTTGGACTTTGTGGAGTGACGTGAATGATGATATGATGGTCATATGACATAATGCTCATTTCATATCAATCATAGTCATGCATTTTTGGAATTTCAAAACTTTTTTTAATTGAAGTTTGACATAAAATTATTGAAAAATTGGAAGTATAATAATAATTATTAGTAAAAATTTGTGTGTATTAAACTACTTTAAAAAAATTACGTTAAATTATGTTATATACGTAATTTTTTTAATGCGCTTAGGGCATGCACAATTGGATTTACCAATAGTTTTATTTTCTTATGTTATTGTTTAGTTCCGGGAGAGGAATCGGAGTATTTAACACGGTTGATGGTTTCGTAAATTTTTATAAATTTACGAAACCATCAATCAAAATGTTTCATAGTCTGTACCTACCCATAATAACAATTGATACATAAATACCATTTCTTCGAATTTCTTGTAGTTCTTGAAATCTGAAAATAGGTCATGTTCATTTGGACATTTAATAACATTGTATGAAGGTACCCCGTAGACGAGTGTAGTGCAGTATAATAGTCCTACTATTTCTATTATATCAGTAGGTATTATATACATACTGGTATAATGTAGGTTATATAGTTTCAATTTACATATTATTATACTTACTTTGTAATTAAATATAATAAAATTAAAAAAAAAACTTAGTTAACTAAGACAACATAAGGTTTCCCACAGATAATCTCGAAGTATAAATAAAATCGAAATAGGCAAAAATAAACAATATTTTCGTATAATGTTAGTTGAGAAATTTTTATTGTCTCTAATAAGGGCTATTGAGGTCTGGTAATTTATGTTCAACCGTTCGCGCAGTCGTGTAATATAGTATTTAAGAGATAAGCCTCGAAATGCTCCAGTAATGAGCTTACGAGACCATGAAAGCGGTTATAAATTCAGAGCAAAACATCCGCTTGCGTTGTCAGGTACCAATATTAAAGTGAGTATGTTAGCCGACATACCGGATGCTCTAGTGGAATAACATTTTGTATTCTGGTCTATAAAATTTCTAGAAAAATATTTCATCAAGATTTGATTACATGCATTCAAAATTTTGTTTTGTCACCTATCTCTAGACGGATATGACTTCATAAGCGGGTCAGAAAAGTGAAACGATTTGCATGTTGCACTGCTCAGGCAAAAAATGTTAGAGCTGAGCATGCCTGTGAGGATGATCAATTTTATATGCAGCTTATATTACAACATGTGTATTGTGTTGACCTAGTCCCATAAAAATATTCCTTATTTAGAGAAAAGTTATTTAAATTTTATGAAGATATGATCTCCTAATTCCAAAACCGCCAAAAACACTCTTTACAAAAATTCCTTTGACGCTCTGTTCTTCTAACCTAATATTATTGTAGATTTAGGTATTCATAAACAAACACAATGTGCCGGATAATAAGTTTAAACAAAATGCGTCTGAAACTTGTGGCCTGACTATTTGATTATGTACACCGATGCATCTAAAGTATCTGACTAGAGTTGTGTTGGCTTTGCTGCTTGATTCTCTAAATACAAAATACTTAGCTTATCCATGTCCGTGTGTCAGCCCACCCCATGAAGCTAATACAAAGGGGAGACTGTGCACTGTGATTCTAAGTAGTTCCTGACGTCATCATAGTGGGCGTGGCTTTAGTTAGCATACTGTCAGCATTCGTCCTGTGCGCTTATGTGTTGAAAAATCGCAAATCGGTGTATTTTCGTAGTATTAAGAAGAAAAGGATGAAGTGATGTGTTTTATTGTGTAAAAACTACTCAGATAGACGCTCTGATGTTATGGATGGCATCACATTTCATTTGTAAATAATTTTACACCTAATTTATTAAAATAGTTCTAGAAAAATCTCTTTGCGTCGGCTTTCAAATATAATTAAATATATTCGACACTAGATGGCGACACTTTGTGTCATGTGAGCTAAAAATATAACGGTCCGTAGAGCTCAGTATTGGTAAAATAATCATACGGAGGTGCTGAAATTTGTTTTGCATTTAGACATAACGAAATTTTAATCGCAAAATATTATTTTTATAGTTTATAATCATTTTGAAAACAGGCCGTATTCTCGTCAAGTAAACCTCATAAAAAATGATAAAAAGACAGGGCCCTAATTAGAATTCAATTATTTTTCCCAGTAATCCAACTTTTAATATTAAATGCAGGAAATTGTACTTAGGCTGATTTTTACGAAATGTTTAAGTTATATTTAAGTGACATTCTATATGCAAAGAATCACTTAAATACAATTTAATTTTCTTAGATTGGCATTCAAAAAGTGCATTCGGATGCCTAATTTGGAATAAAATATTTGTATTTTAATTGATTTGTAAATAAAATTATATTAATTATAATAATTTGTCTATTATTTGTTTTCCCTCAGAGATATTAAGTAGTATAACCCACACACAAATAATAGACCAGCTGTTTCTGCGTGAAAAAATTACACATACTTAGTGTGGAATAAGCTCAAGGAGACAGAAAGAACACACAAAATTTCGCCTTTATAATATTAGTGAGATAAGTAGGATATTTAGTTCCAAATTAAATATCCTACTTAATATTGAACATAGAATATTTAGTTTCAAAGAGGCTTTATTTTATGGATAAAATAAATATTTCTTGAAGGTTGACTTTCACAAAATGGTAAACATATTTAAATTGTATTTAAGTGATTCTTTGCATATAGAATGTCACTTAAATATAACTTAAATATTTCGTAAAAATCAGCCAAGTACAATTTCCTTCATTTTAATATTGAATGTTGGGTTACTGGGTAAAATAATTGAATTCGAAATGCGGCCCTGTATTTTTGTTATTTTTTATGAGGTTTACTTGACGATAGATGGCGGCCTGTTCCCAAAATTATTATGAAAACTATAACAATATTATTTTGGCGATTAAAATTTCTTTGTCTGTATGTATTTGCTTCATGAGATAGACGCTCCGATGCTATGGATGGCATCACATTTCATTTCTAAATAATTTTACACCTAATTTATTAAAATAGTTCTAGAAAAATCTCTTTGCGTCGGCTTTCAAATATAATTAAATATATTCCACACTACATGGCGACACTTTGTGTCCTGTGAACTAAAAATATAAAGGTACGTAGAGCTAAGTAATGATAAAATAAT